TAAAGAAAATTTATATTATTTTAACGTTTTTTATTGATTCTCAAATTTGGTTCCTTTTGGACCACCCTGTATAATATAATAGTACTACAATAGTAACTACTCACACTATTTTTATCAAAATAATATTTTGATAAAATTGTTATTGCGCTAGAAAACCGATTAGAAAAATATTACGTGACCTTCCATTAAAAATATTAACACTAGAACTATGAGCTACTTACAACAATTATTGAAGCAGGAAAAATATTTGCTTGTCAGTCATTTTCATCGTGACACATATTTGGAGTTAAAAAACAGATTTTAAATATTCAAGATTTATGAATCATTCATAAACAAAGATCTTTTGAATGACAAAAATAGCATTGATGACACTTGCCAAAGCTAAATTGCACAAAAAAGGTACAGGGATGATTTTTGCGAATTGGGGCGTGAGGCCGCTAGTGTAAGGGTAGGTCACCCTGGATTATGAAAGATCGATGATCCAGCACGTGTAGACCATTCTCTCTGAATTTTTGGGGTCTTCGAAGGACACACGCGTTATAGTGCGTGTGTCCTCGACGTAAATACGCAATAGTAAGATGTTTGTTTGTTTTGGGGATCATATCGTTGTAATTTACGGGTTAATGGTGGATTTTATATTCCTTTGTCTGTCAAGGTCACGATTTTACACCCCCTTTCATAAATACAGTTAATTTTTTTTATCTGAACTCGTGTTTTTTTTGTTAGGTTGGTAGCGTATGCCAGTTTCTTAGTATTTTTAGTATTTAAAAATGGTACTTCTGCTAAAGAATTTAATTAAATACTTTGAAGCTGGGTTCTAACAGAGAAATAACGTAATATAATTTAATTTAACTTTAAAAGTAATTTAATTTAATTTACTTGCGTTCATACAAAAAGTAACGTAATTTAATAGTGTTTGAAATAAAAAACAATATTTTAAAGAGAGTGCTTACTTAATATATCTAAAACTTAAAGTTTTAGATATATATGGCTTACTTTGGTAATTACAATCGAAATATTTGTCTTATTATTAAAACCGTTTACACAAAATAGGTTAGATTCTCCCAAAATAGGTTAGATAATACGAAATAACCTTGAAATAACGTAATTTAATTTAAAAGATAAAAGTTGGCCAACTATTAAATTAAGTTTTAAATTACATCACTGTATGAACGTTACAAAGGATTGTTGGGGTTTTAACTTTTAAGTTAAATTAAATTACTTCTTAAATTAAATTACTTTTCTGTTAGAACCAGGCTTGACACTGTCAAATTGACAATAATATTTATTATTGATAATTTACTTGTCAATTATAAATATTTATGCCAAAAATCAACGAATTCGAATTCGAATTCGAATGTAAAAGCCCTTTTGAGGGCAAAACTTCATTTTAATGAAATTACGCCAAATGCCACAATGGAAGAAAAAGTACATCGCCTTATGGACATTTTTGGAGTAAAAAAGTAACGAATTTGGTTTTATAAATATTACATCACACATTATTTTCACATTATTTACCATTGGACAACATTTACGTTCACAAAAAAATTTAATTTGTTTTATATAAATTCTTTTCAAAGCGAAGTTTATTATCCGCTAGGAATACTTTCTCTTCTGGGCCGTAAAGCAACCTATATTTAACTACTTTTTTATATGATTTTACTCATCCAAGCACCACCAAAGCCAAATTAATTGCATTTTTAACTACGAATTTCGACAACTCAACTTGACAACTGCACAATGTAATTACATTACAATTACAGGTTAACCTACAATAATTTATACATAACCACAATTAGATTTATAACTAGCTTAGTTTGTTTTAATCAATGCGACCAACTTGACAACTGTATTTACCAACCAAACCCTAAATTTGCAACAGTACAGATAAAAAAAATTAACTTTATATGAGTATATATGTTTTATTTTATATTTTAGGTTTTTGACAAATTGGCGCCCAACGTCAATAATGGATTGTGTTATATTTATGAATTTTGGAAAGTGTACTAAAAATATGACGATCTTTCCAGCGGTGTATTATGATTTTATTTCAATTAACAGTTTTTACGATTTTATTAATAATTACATACATGTGCTTTCGTCATTTTGGCAAATAAAAACAAATAATTAAGAAAAAAAAATGAATTAAATATTTATTATTTTACCACAATAACAAACTTTATCAACCTAAATATGTTCTAGGAATTTTAAAATGAATTTCGTGAATGAAATACAGAAATATTTAAGTAGTAGCTGTGTGAAATATTAAACAATCACAAAAAAATACAAACAAAAAATTGTACCTAGGTAAATTCGCCTATTAATTAACGTAGGTATTTAAGTTTCAAAGTTCACAATTTCAAGATCTTTTGGTTTTATCACGTTGGCAAAACCGATTATGTCCTTTCACTACCACATCCAAAAAATGTTTGGATTACGTAAACTGGGCCAGCAAAACAACCATCAAATTAAATAAAAATAAATAAAATTTAATTTTATAACCCCGATGCATTTGCAGATAAATAATAAAAAAAAGTATTTAGTTCGCAGACAATTTGGCACGACAAACTAGTAAAGTGGTTGCTTACGTCCGTCTAGAAGTTCAACAAACTATAATTTGCTTAATAATTCCAAAGAAACACATTTAGGTCACTCTATTCACTGTACAGACGTAAAATTACGCTTTTTTTAGTGTGTACCCATTTAAGACCAGGATGCCTAGCGGCAACACTTTCGATTGTTTCAATGTTTTAGACATTTGAGTCAAATGATTTGACAGACAGAAATGTCAAATTATCGCGGCCCACGTGTTTTTTCCGCTCTAAATCGTTAATTAGCGAAAAATCCTTGAATATAATGAAAAAATCGGGTTTTAGGTACCTGGCATATAAAAAATACAGAATGGGGTAGTTAAATTTTTTCTGACCTATACTTTTTATGGTTTTATTCAAGGCGTTTTGTAATATTAAACATTTCTGTGAAATCAGAATTTCAATTGAGTTTACCGTTTTCGAGATATTTACAAAAAATATAAATTTTTATGACGTCACAAACCCCGTCATGTGACCAACATTCTAAGATTTCTATTGGTTGAAAATTACCCTGTTGTCAAGTTGTCTTGTTAATGATTTCATTCGGTTATGTCAGAAAATACCCGAAGAGGTTATGTACAAATACTGTCACTGTCAGTTGAGTGAAAGAAGAAGAAGAGAAGGTTAAAGAAAATTCTGAAATTAAAAGTTTTATTGATAGGTTTACACAATGAAACACCGTGTGAAACCTAATAAAATGTAATAAATAGGTACCTAATAACTGTCTAAAGCAGAGTTTAATTTATTTCATAGAAAAAAGTGGCAAAATAAAGCTGAAAATGAATGAAATAAATTTACAAAAAATAATAATATATCTAAAAGAATATAAAGAACTAGGCATTATACCAATGAAATGCATTTACGACAAAATATGATTATAATTATAGGTACTTACTTTTTTTGTTTAAAAGCTCCAATGTTCAATGTAACCAACCATTCCACAAGATTTCTCTGCTTTGGAGTCCGTTATTAATAAATCACTTATCTAATATCAATTACAAATAACATAACAATAACATTGATTTTCAATAATCTAAATTTAAAAAAAACAACCCGAAAAAAAGAAACGTCAAAAAATCAATTCTTCTTCTCAACTAAAATATTATAACGAGGCGCCATCTATCGTAAACTAAACACACTGGCAACCATAGAAAAAGCTGGCAACGTTGTCAATAGCCTAGTGACGTAATTAGGAGATTTTGTTTTGTAAATATCTCGAAAACGGTAAACTCAATTGAAATTCCGATTTCACAGAAATGTTTAAAATTACAAAACGCCTTGAATAAAACCATAAAAAGTATAGGTCAGAAAAAATTTAACTACCCCATTCTTGACCCAAACCACTAATGTGTATTTTGTTGTGACTGGCGTGCCAAATATTTTCAAGCTTAATAAATCACTCACAATTACCTTAATTATTAAAATAAATTATAGAAAGCCCAAAAATTAATTTCAATTTTTTTACTAAGTGATGTTTTGACTACCAAAACAAATGCCAACGAACTTGAGTACAACAAAAAACACGCAACAAAGAAAACATGTTTTAATCGATACCGCATTTGTTTGTTTTCCTATTTACAGAGTTGAAATTAAATATTTGCCAGCGAAATTATTTTTGGCAACGATTTCGACCATCATATATTTTGTTTAAACATTTCACTCGGAAAATTTCGAATGATGTGCATAATTTTTTAACGTAATTTGCCAAGTGAAAATTATTTATTACAAGATAAGTAATTGCTGTTAAAAGTGGTCTAAAATTACTTGTTTAGATGCACAATGACGCAAAATGAAAAAATTGACACATTTTCGCACAACGCGAACAATTTAAAATGCCTGTAATTACCAGGGGCGTAGGTAGGGGGATTTGGGGGTTTGAACCCCCCCTCAAAATGTAAAATTTTTACAAATTGTATTTTTATTATAATTTTGAAGGTAGGTACCTATACATACTAAAAAAATATTATTTTGGTAGTTCATCACGCTGAAATTGATATTTTGACCAATTGGCGCCCAACGTAAAAATTTTAAAAATGTCTGTAACTTCTACAAATTTTGTGTAATTCTATGATTTTTGGTGGTAAATTAAAATTTATGTAAAAAATGGTATTTTCACACCAACTTTTAAAAGTTTACCCGCTATTTAAAATAATAATACCTACTGAAAAAGAATTTTGTACATAATGAAAATATTGACGCGCGTCACTGCATTGGCGTCTAAGCTTTCACGAAGTGGTAAACAAAGGGTTAAAGTAGGACATAAATATTGGATTAATAATTAACAAATGCCACAATTAATTATAAACCACGTGTTAATAATTTAGTGTATTCTCAAGGATATTTTTATGTAACGAACCGATTAATATTTATGTGTTGTTTGTTTTGCCGGCCGCATAAAACAATTCCTACCTTTTCTGCGTCCGAAAGGTCCCAGGAAAGCGTTACTTTTCCCAACCACATTGTCGTCGATATACTTGACTAGTTTGTTCACTTCTTCGTGCTTTTTTGGCTGATTCAAATTTTTGGCTTTGTTTGCGCGATAAGGGTAATCCTCCGGGAACACGTAAATCTTCCTGTTGCCGTACGATTTCCTGATTGTTGTCGTCGATGTCATACTGAACACATTTCACTTAAATTTAAATTAATCTCGAACTTTTCCCTCTTAAAAAAACGATCCAACGCACACTCTATCTACCAACTCTCCACTCTCTGTGTTAAACGATCGTCTACTGCCAGTGACTTACACATTGCGCTCGCAGGAACCAGCAATCGATTAAAATAGCAGGAAAATTTCAAACGCGCGCCCCTGAATACCTGCAACCATTGTTACGAGTGCCTGAATCACTGCAACCCAGGTTACACTGCCTAACGTCATCGCCTAAAACAGTTTCAGTGAAACGCCTGAAACTTATTATTCTAAGGGAAAACCTAATTCTTCACTAATCTAGGTATGACAAATATAAAAAAAATAGGCACTGTATTGAAAAGGCAGCAACGTATTCTTTTTCTATGCTAACATATTATGGTACCTATTTTCTTTACTTTATTTAAAAGTAGGTAAATAGGTATTCATCAAAAATTGTAGCAGTTACCCACAACTATTTTAAACCATTTTGTTAAAATTTACATAAATCTTTAAACAGGATTGGAAACATCGTCATATTTTTAGTAGGCCTTGCAAACATATCCTAGCACAAAATTTGTGAAAGCAAAAAAGGGAAAACACAATCTTTCTAAAATTTAATAATTTTAATTATTGTTGAAATTTGTAACAACATGGTTATTGCCCTATTTTGTTTAAATTTAATTGAATTAATTATTTGGAGCGTTTTGACAAAATGGCAGTGGGAGACATTTGGCAACATTGCAGTGTCATTGTCATAACCAAACTTTTCAGCCAGCAGTGAAGATGTTTAAAAAGTGAGTATTTCGATGATTTTAAATGAAATTTTATTGCTTTTTCGCGTAGATTTGATGAAAAAGAAAGTATTTCCGGCGTACTGCAATTAAAATCGTCGGTTCAGAAAGGAATAAGGACAAAATTAATTGAATCGTATCCGTATCTGGAAAACCATATAGACAATATTTTACCGAAGAAAGATGCGTTGAGAATCGTGAAATGGTGAATATTAATGCATAATAAAGTGTGTCATTAATAATAACCCCAATTATTTGTAGCCACGATCACATCGAAATAATTGTTAATACTGCTGGAGATCTCCTGTTTTTTAGGCATAGAGAAGGACAATGGATGCCAACTTTAAGATTATACCATAAATGTAACTAAATCGACAATAATTAATAACAATTACTTTCAAACATTACCATTTCAGACCCATTTTTTCTTCCGATGCAGCAAGTAGATAAAGGTGCCATTAGATTTGTTTTAAGTGGTGCCAACATAATGTGCCCAGGTCTGACGTCACCCGGCGCTCAAATGACCACAGTTCCTAAAGATACAATAGTGGTGAGTAATTTTTTATAAATAAGATTATTTATTTAATATACATTTAAAATATTTACAAATGGTCTTAAATTATTATTTTAGTCCACATGTATTTATATTAATTTTTTTTTAAACTAAATATATTTTTAAATTAAATTTCTAATGGGAAATATGAAATAGTTTTTAGTCACTGTATAATATTTAAATTAATTATTTTAATGTATGATGGTTGCATATCAAATTTCACTAAAGAGAGTAAATATTTTACATCTGGCAACACTGCCTTGAAATCTTGAAAAGTTTTTGTCAAATGTGCTAAAATGTTCTAAATTGTGACGTCACAACAAAAGCAGAGATTTGCGAAATTAAAGGAACTTCAAATATAGTCGTTGCGGCGAATGTTTCAAATTGCGGTATCAATGTCGAATGTCAAAAACCGATTTCTCGACATACGGTTAACCTAGCGGTTTCTTGAATTATATACGTAAAAGAAAACAACAATAATTGTAATGTCTGTGCTTGGTTCAGAATTTGATGACGCAATTTGAAACATTCGCCGCGACAACTATAACTATAAGTATCGCTAGTAGCGCCACCACTCGGCTGTTATCATCGTAACAAAAGTACCACTTTTAATAATTAGCTGTCAAACGTTTAGGTTACAAACGAGTTTTTTTGAGAATAAATCCGGAAAATGTTAAAAAAATATCGAAAAAAAAACCGTGGCTCGATTTGTTGTGTTGTTGTGTGTATTTTGAGAGGAAATCCTGGGTTGAGTTTTTACCGGTTTTCCAATAAACAGTGTTAATCTGAATGAAGAAATAAATTGCATACAGTCTCTGTAAATATAAATTGTACCTATTAGATACAATAAATACACATTTTAGTAGTGATTAATGTGAAAAGGGTAAACATTTCAACTCAGTAAAATTCGTCAAACAAATAAGTCGTCTAAATTTAAACAGCATTTAGCATTATTAAAAGAGTTGATTAAGAAAGTCTCCACTCAACGGTAAAATACCATTATATTATGTATTATATATAATATTATGTTGCCATGAATTCGTAGGTATATTAATATTAAAATTTTGTTGTTTAAAGTGCAGTTGTCGGCGTTTTTTTGGGAACTCAAATATAAAAATGGTTAAGTTTAAGGTTATGTTTGTGCAAAAATTATTTCTTACTAATTTCTTAAAAATGTCCTAACTTAAATATAAATTATATTAGGTAAAGTTATCATTAGTTAATTCTGCACCACAAATGAGGAGCATCCGTGCAAAACCGGCTATAGCATATACAGTATGTCTTGGAATCATATGGAAAACTTTTTTATTATTAATTTTAGGAAAAAAAGTTATTCTTCATAAAAAGTTCTGCATGGTGTAAAACTTAAAATGCAACCCACAAATATTAATTTTTTTAGTCGTATACGGGGTATGTCAAAAAATATGAATTTGGCTCAGGAGTAAAGTACCTTTATATTTGACAATATCGAAAATTGTTATAAAGAAAAGTTCATCAGAACTAAAAACTACGTTCAAATATGCAATTACATCCATTTACATTAAAAAAAATATATTTTTTCTTTTTTGTCTACAATATCAATGCAAATTTAACTGTAACATGTAATTTAGGATTCACTGATAAACAAATGATTTGTTGATATTCTAATACTTTTTGGCCTGCTAGATCCCCTGACTTAACTTAAGGTTTTCATGTTTTTTCTAATCATAACAGATAAATGTTCATTTAAAATAGAAAGATTAGTAAAAATTAACAAAACCTAATTTTTTAATGTAAATGTATGAAATTGCATATTTAAACGTAGTTTTTAGTTCTGATTAACTTTTCTTTATAACAATTTTTGATATTGTCAAATATAAAGGTACTTTACTCTTGCGCCAAATTCATATTTTTTGACATACCTCGTATACGACTAAAAAAAATTAATATTTGTGGGTTGCATTTTAAGTTTTACACCATGCAGAACTTTTTATGAAGAATAACTTTTTTTCCTAAAATTAATAATAAAAAAGTTTTCCATATGATTCCAAGATACTGAGACATACTGTATACATATATAGCATATATCCACTTTAATAAAATGTTGGGAAAATGGCAAAAACTCTTTGTTTCCTGGCCTACAGATAAAAGAAAAAGCAAATTTGGGTTTTGTGGGCTTTGTGGTACTTGATTTATAACTTATAAATTATAAGACATACCTTCGTTTTCAAAAACTTTATATTAAGGCCAAAATTTCAAAAAATGTTTTGTATATAGCCGGTTTTGCTCGAAAACCGAATAAAAAACGAATAAAATTTGAAAAAAAAACCTTTATTATTCAAAAATATTAACAAAAAAAATTTACTGCAATCATGAAAAAACAAAACAAATTTTAGTAGTAGTATCGACATATCCAAGCCACATATTATTATTTATTGGATATAGCCGGGTTTGCTATAAAAACGTGGATTTGGCCGGTTTTGCTCCTAAAGCTACCTTTTAAATGTGATTTTAACATGGATTTAGTCGGATTTAAACGGAATTATCTTGGTTATCGATAGAAATGAACCCAAAGATGCGAAATAAAAAAAACAAAAACTAAATAAAATGGATTTAGCCGGTTTTGCACGGATGCTCCTCAAATGTACTTACCGAATTGGATCCTTTGGCAAAACAGGAAAATGCAACGATTTAGTTCTTGAATTTTATTTACAATAAAAAACACAATAATTCACCATGATCCCTTAGATAAAATACACATACTAACGTAACTATATAAGCATTTAAGCGTTGAGTTTCAATGATATAAGAAATAATCAATCTAAATCGAGTACTAAAAAAGTTTTTTATTTTTTTTCTTGCAAAGTAAAACACAAATAACGTGCGCGATTTAGCTGTGCAATTGAAGAAAATTTGTCGAGTAAGACTTCTGCTTTCCACTCTTTTGTAAAAAAACTACCTATTTATTTTAAAATGATGTATAATCTGTGCTTTAAATGTAATTTTGACAATTCTTAAATTTACGCAATGCTATCGAAGCCCACCAGATGGCGCGTGCGAAAACCCGATACTTCTTTAGCGTATTATGGAGTGAATTTAATTATTAAACTGTTACTGTTATTTTTTACCTAAACTCTATTTTTAATTTAAAAATTATTTTAGGCCATTATGGCAGAGGGCAAAGATCATGCCCTAGCAATTGGTAAAACAACACTTTCTACTGATGATATGTAAGATAAATTTAATTATTTTCAATATCAATTTTTTTAATTAAAAATATATTTTCAGTGCTAAAGTAAATAAAGGTATTGGCGTCGAGAATTGTCACTATCTTAACGATGGTTTGTGGCATATGAAACCAGTGAAATAAAATTATTTTTGTATATATTAATAATCTTTATTAAATTATGTAATATTTCATATATATGTGACTTTTAGTAATACCTTAACATATTTTATATACACAAGAGATTTTAAAAATTATTAAATTTATTTATAATGTATGATTTTAAACAGGTTGTTAAATTGTTATCATTAAATCAATAGAAATTGTCTCATATCCAAACAATTTACCTTATTGACTATGTTTCACCCAGATAATTTTTCATATCTCTGATAAACTAAACCAAATTAAATATTAAAAGCCTTATCATAATATCCATTGCAAGGTGTAGCTACTAAGAGAGCTATTCACCTTAATTAGTAAAGTGAAAAAACGGCTTTGGCCGTCAACAAAATGAACTTTAAGTTGTTAGTAATAGTGTTTTGCATATGGGCTAAAGTATTAGCCCAGGATACAGACGTTGAGACAGTTTTGGACTCCAAAAATGAGTCCACGGAACAGCTAAGCCCTGTTGAAGAACTACCTCCAGAGGAAAACCCAAAAACCGACAAAATAGGTATTTATAAATCAAAAAAATTAACTCACTAAAACAACTAACATATTTTTGTAGAACCCGACCCCACCCCTCAGTCATCACCTGAAAATGTCGATATCCCTATTGTGCAATCAAATCCAGACATAGAAATTAGTGGTAGGTCCTTCTCAAAACTTGGTAGAAGTGGAAAGTTATCTGTCTATCATGACTACGGGGCAAATTACGGTTAGTCAATATGCTCTATCTATGTTTTTTGCATCTATGGTTACTCTATCTATGTTATTTATGTCAAAGATTTTTTGTTTGTAATTTATGTCAAAATGATATTTTTTGCGTTGTTCCTATTTCCTTTGTTTTTCATATCATTTTTGCTTTTGCATTATATTTTCCAATAAAAATATATCTAATCCGATAGCCAATGTAAATAAAAAACAACATTATCTTTATTTCTAGTATTCAGATATGATTCATAATAAAAATATAAAGATGTATTATTTCTTGGTAGGTACTCAAAATGTAATAAAATTTATCAAAATTATTTCAAAAAAATAAATATTTCATCTGCAAAACAAACACATGTATTAACAGAAAAGTAAACAAATTTCGTTACTTTTTATTTGTTTTTTATTATCTTGCACCAGATTTCACTTAAACACAAAAGTAGGTCACTAAAGGAATTTAAAAAAAAATCTAGAATGCTATTATTTTAACATCTGCCGTTTTTAACGTCATATGTCATCTTAACTGCCAAAAAATTAACCATACTAACGTTTAAAAAATTACAAAAAAATGAATTGAATTTTTTTGTAAAAAAATTAAGTGATTTTAAAAGCCTAACCTAAAACTACTTGTTAAAAAATGTGGCAATTCTAATGTTGTTATTTTGACATTTGTCATTTTGAACGTCATCAACTAGGCCTTGATTTTGACATCTCTTTCAAAAAACATGTTGCCAAGTTGTTTTTTTTTAATTTTCAGACCCTATGACCAGCAATGTGGCTCCACTGAACAGTGATTTGATTGGTGACAGGTCGAATCCTTACATAGTCACCGAGACCCGTTTGGCCGACGTTAGATCGCATTTTATGTACCCTTATTACAACGAGGGCGGTGATATTGATAACATGGGGGATTATCAGAGAGCTATACAGCAGAGCACGAGTCAGATTTACAAGAATTTGAATTTCCAGCTGCCCTTTTTCGGGTTCAGATTTAACTACACCAGGGTCTCCCTAAACGGTTACTTGGAGTTCAGCGATCCGCCCCCCAGTTACGTTAACTACCCCTTGGTGTTCCCCAACAAAAACTGGCCCAAAGAAAACGACCCCTCTTTCATAGGCATATTCATGTCGAAATGCAGAGTCGGAACTATATACCCCGAGGACGTCGACCAAAGAACACCCGGTGTATATTTCAGAATGGAACGCGACTTACGTGGCAGATACGATAAGTTGGGAGTTGAGCTCTACAACAGACTTAAATGGGACATCAGGGAAGGCGTTGTGGGGTCGGAAACCTTCGACCCAAAACACATGATCATAGTTACCTGGAAAAACGTCTCGTTCAACGGAGGCTGGGGATCCAACGCCCTCTACAAAACAAACACGTTCCAGATGGTACTAGCAACCGACGAAGTGTTCACCTACGCCATCTTTAATTACAAACAACTCGCTTGGACCAGTCACACTGAAGCAGGTACAAAACTTTGATTTTGATTTTTTAAATACTTTTAAAAGTACTATCTACTGGTTTATTGTGGTCTTAAAAGTAAAACCCTTAGGACAAAAATAATAATGACTATTTTCTAGGCGGTTCAACTGACAATGGTGAGGGTGGTACGTCAGCATACGTAGGTTTCAACGCCGGAAACGGAACCAGAAGTTACCAGTACGTACCGTACAGTCAAGCGTCCGTTATTAGAGATTTAACATCTACAGGGTGGGCAAACGGATTCCCCGGAAGACATATTTTTAGGATTGACGAGAATATTATGCTGGGAACGTGTAACAAAGATATAGGTACAGTTTATTTTTGTTTTTTGGACCTTTTATTGTACACAACTTACCTTTTATTGTGCATAACTTACCTTTTATTGTGCACAACTTACCTTTTATTGTACAACTTTTAGATGGGGCAAATTTGCCTCTGGTTTTTGCGCCGGAGAGTGGAAATATGTTGGGTGGCACCGTGGTTAATATAACAGGGCCTTGTTTCAATGAAAACGTTCAAGTTAGATGCGTTTTCGATGTCGGTAATGTTGTAGTGGGTAAATATATATCCAAAAATAGGGTTATATGTGTACAACCCAGGATGTACATCGAGGGTTGGATAGATTTGGAAATATCGGTCGGAAATGCTCCTTATAAGTACAAGGGAAAGTATTACATAGGTAAGATTTTTTATTTAGATTGAAATCTAAAAAAGTACAACATTTTAGGTTTATTTATTAACTATAGCTATTTATCAAATTAACAAAAATAAAACTTCGCTTTTTATTTTTTCGGCAAACCCTGAAAATTGTTTGCAAAATTACTATTTTGACATTTTGGCGCCCAACGTGCCATTTTTTTTAAACTTGACTGTAACTTTTACAAATTGTATCGGATTTGGATGAAATTTTTAGGGTTAACTAAGAAAAATGCACTCTTTCTTTTGATAAAATTTCGTAAGTCGTAATTTTGTAGTTGTACCCTAAAAATGTAATTAAAAACTAACCATTTTTAGAATATTTACATACTTTTTTAAATTTACAACAACTTTTACAATTTTTGTTCAATTTTAATGAAATTTTCAGGGTGTACTAAGAAAAGTTCGCTCTTTTATTTATTTTGATGACCTTTTTCAAGTTGCAATTTTGTCGGTACCTATACCATAAAACTCATTAAAAACTGACATTTTACACGGATATTTACAAACTTAAAAATTCTCTGCAATTTCTACAATTAAAATTAACTTTAATTGTAATTACCAAATTATTTAAAAAAAAATTTTTTTTTCTGTAGAAAATCCTGCTGCTGCAGCTCAAAAAATTTTCTTCAAAGATTTAAAACACACGGAAAAATCACCGGCGGAATTTTTGGTCACATGGGAAAAATACAATTTAACAACGAACGAAAACGCGAACGTTAGAATGTCGTTATGGGGTTATCGCGAGGTTAATATAAAACCGGACTTTTTATACATAACTGAGTTGAGTAGTAACGTGCAAAACTCTGGATCTTTCAACATCGTACCGTCACAGTACAGAAATAGAAGAAACGATTTTCTAGACGACATCACCTTCGGTTTCATACAAATCAATCTAACCGACACGATAACCGTAAAAAAACCCGATGGTTCGGTTTTCAGTGTCGAAATAGAACCCGTGATATGGAGCAGACCTATCCCGTTAGCGTGGTATTTCAACGGCCAGTGGGAGGACAAATACGGTAAAAGATGGGTTGAAGCCCTGTGCGACAACTGGCTTAAAAACGACAGATACCTGAAAAATTTTGCCCACGAGTTGCCGCAATGTCCATGCACCTTAGAACAAGCTTTAATCGACAAAGGAAGGTTTTTGCCCGACTTGGAATGCGATAAGGACACAAATAGGGATTGTCCTTTCAATGATAAGGCTGAGCACTGCGTTAAAACTGGATCTCCAACGTAAGTATACAAAGAACAATACAGTTTTATTTGTGAATAATTCATTCAAATTCTGGTGAATAATTTATTAAAATTCTGGATTTTAAAAGATATAGTTTTCCGCTGAAAATTAGAAATTCTTTAAATGCATTTTATTTTCCAAATTCTGGATTGTAGAAGATGTACGGTTTTCCACTGAACATTTTACATTTTTTGTTTTACCATCTTAAGAAGAAACAATTTGTTTATCCATCCCTGATGTTGTGTTTTCCATGATATCTTTTAACTGCATTCAATTTTCCAAATTCTTTATTGTAGAAGATGTAGGGTTTTCCACTGAACATTTTATATCCTTTGTTTCACCAACTTAAAAAGAAACAATGCGATCATCCATCCCTGATGTTGTTTTTCCTATGCCATCATTTTAAATGAATTCTATTTTCCAAAATCTGGAATTTAGAAGATATAGGGTTTTCTACTGAAAATTTTTTTGTGTCACCATGTTAGGAAGAAACAATGCGATCATCCATCCCTAATGTTGTTTTTCCCCATGCTAACATTTTCTATTTTTCAAATTCTGAATGGTAGAAGATGTAGGGTGTTCCACTGAACATTTTATATCCTTTGTTTCACCAACTTAAAAAGAAACAATGCGATCATCCATCCCTGATGTTGTTTTTCCTATGCCATCATTTTAAATGGATTCTATTTTTCAAAATCTGGATTGTAGAAGATATACGGCTTTCTACTGAAAATTTTAACTTCTTTGTGTCACCATCTTAGGAAGAAACAATGCGATCATCCATCCCTGATGTTTTTTCCCCCAGCTATCATTTTAAATGCATTCTATTTTCCAAATTCTTTATTGTAGAAGATGTGGGGTTTTCCACTAAACATTTTATGTTCTTTGTTTCACCATCTTAAGAAGAAACAATGTGATCATCCATCCCTGATGTTGTTTTTTCTTAACCATCATTTTTAAATGGATTATATTCTCCAAAATTTGGATTCTAGAAGATATACGACTTGCTACTGAAAAAACTTTTTTGAGTTACCATATTAGGAAGAAACAATGCGATCATCCATCCCTGATGTTGTTTTTCCCATGCTATCATTTTAAATGTATTTTATTTTCCACTGAACATTTTATAGTTTGTTTCACCATCTTAAGAAAAAACAATGTAATTATCCATCCCTGATGTCGTTTTTGCTATGTCATCATTGTATTTTCCAAATTCTTTAGATATATATCGCTGGTTTGGTGCAAGACTAACCTAAGTCCATTTTAAAAGAATTGGAGAAAAACACTATAAAAACATTTCTATTTATTGTAACTAAATTGTTTTTTGCGTCATTCTATTAAAAATTGGAAGGTTTTACAAGAATGACGCAAAAAACAATTTAGTTACAATAAATAGAAATATTTAATAGTGCTTTTCTCCAATTCTTTGAAAATGGACTTGGGATAGTCTTGCACCAAACCAGCGATATGTGGTTTTACCCTTATTCTAAGGTTTAAGCATACCCTGACACATTTTTTGACAAGGTTGCCAGATGTAACATTAAATATTCATCAAACTCAACCTTTTATTGTACACAGGGTTGAGGGAGCTGAACAGCAATGTTGCTACGACAAAAACCACTACTTAATGATGTCCTATGATCAGCAATGGGGTTCCACACCTAGACGTTGCCATAACTTAGGTTACCTCCCATGGAATGAAGCTACAAAAGTCCCTACGTTGTCTCAATGGCAATACGATGTAATGCCAAAGTACATGTGTTGTTTGTGGCAGGAAGAACAGGCTGTCGGTTGCGAGACTTTGCGTTTTGAACGAAGACCCACGCAAGATTGCGTAGCATATCAAGCTCCAGGTATAGCTGGTATCTATGGCGACCCCCACATCATCACTTTCGATGATTACCCTTACACTTTTAACGGCAAAGGAGAATTCGTAATTCTAAAAACAGTTTCGAAGACGAACAACCTGGAAATCCAAGGCCGGTTCGAAGAAATGCCAATGAACGCATACGGTGACGTCAAAGCCACCCAACTTTCCTCCGTGGTTGCCAAAGGTAACTCTTCAACCATCATCGAAATCCGCTCCAGACCTCGAGAAGCCAGATGGCGCTACCGTCTGGACGTTCTGGCCAACGGCAAACAAATTTACTTCGACAGACCATCGTTGAAATTCCAGCACTTCTCCGGTGTCACCGTATACACCCCCACTTACATCTACAACCAATCCGAAGTTGTTGTTATGTTTGATAACGGAGCCGGTCTGGAGGTCATCGAAAATGATGGATTTTTGTCCGCCAGAGTCTATCTACCCTGGAGTTTTATTGTAAGTAAACTTACCGTTTTATTACCCACACCTTACCGCTTATTGTTTCAACTTACCGCTTTATTGTCCATGCCTTACCGTTTATCGTTAAATTTACCGTTTTATTGCACACCTTACCGTTTATTGTTTAAACTCACCGTGTATTACAATAAGAATTGTACAATTCAGAACAAGACTAGAGGCCTGCTGGGAAACTGGTCCTTCAATCAGCTCGACGATTTAGCCTTACCGGACGGCAGGATAGTCTCCTTACCGTCCAAAGATGAGGATCAAAAAAGGCTGTACGACGATTTTGGTCTGAAATGGATGTTGGACGATAGCGACGTCCCCGATGTCGGACGCGCCATGTTTTACCGCGAATTCGGCAGGTCTTCTTCCACCTACAACAACAAAACTTTCGTACCCGAGTACAAGTTTAAGCCTGAAGATATCATACCGGCGAATCGGTCCAAGTTTATCGAAGATGCTTACCAAGTGAGTACTTACCGTTCATTGCGCGCAACTTACCGTTTATTGTAAGTAACATGCCGTTCATTGCGGCCAACTTACCGTTTGTTGTGCATAACTTACCGTTTATTGTGAATAACTTACCATTTACTACACGTAACTTACCGTTTATTGCAGACACATTACCGTTTATTGTGCACAACTTACCGTTTATTATGCACAACTTACTTATATTGCATAAAACTTACAGTTTCTTACATAAAACTTACCGTTTAGTGCGCAAACCTAACCGTTTATTGTGCCCAACTTACCGTTTATTTTAGATATGCTTCACGGACAACAGAGAGTGCCTCTATGATTATTCGGTGACGTTGAATAGAGACGTGGCTCATTTCACGAGTAACTACAAGGCGACTATATTAAAAATGAAGGAGATAAGTCGGGACAAAATTATATCTTGCGGTGTCCTGGAAACGCCAAGGTTCGGTAGAAAAAATACTTACCTCTTTACTCCGGGTACGAAGGTTACTTATGAATGTAATACCGACTTTATTTTGGTGGGAGACCCGAGAAGAACTTGCTTGCCGAATGGTAGATGGGACATACCGAATTACGGATACACTGAGTGTTTACGTGAGTACCTTACCATTTACAGGATGGCCATTTTTTAACTGAACTTCCCTATAATAATATTTTCAGTTATATTATTCTTTTTTCTATAACGGTTGAAAGATAAAATTGTATCCCTACTTTTTATTCAGAGTGTTAAAACTAACATTCTGACTAACAGGTCAGCAGGAGTACTCCTCTAGGACCGCAGCTACGACTTGGGGAATAATTCTGGCGATTCTCATACCATTAATTTTGTTGTTACTATACGGGGCGTGGAGAGTTTACCAAAACTACGTCGACACCGACGATACTACGTGGAAGTACGACCCTGCGTCTCGTAGGGCCTCTAGCGTGCAAAAACTGAACACCAAGGCGCCTGTGGAAGAATCGGAGGAGTACGAAACCGATTATGACGATGCCGATGACGAGGAAGTCAAACCGAGATTAAGAAGCAACTCGCAGACGTCCAAGTCCAGCAATAAACGTAGGAGCTACGAAAAAAGCTACAAAACCAACGAGCCCATAAAGGGTCTTCCAGAGACTGATTTTGAGGAAAAACCATGGGACCCCGAGGTCGACGGCAGCGTCTTGTCGAGCCCCATGTCATCACCCATACAAAGACCGCCACCTTTGACTTTACCGCAGAAAAAACCCACCAGATATAGCAGTCAAAGTAGTACTGTAACAGACGTGTAGATCTAGACTTAACTTAGCATGTGGAATAGATTGTAATAAGTTGTGTAATGTTTTCAATAAAGTTTGTAAAAAATTATAAAATATAGTCCATTCCACAAGCTAGGAAATGTACAGAATAAATGGTATGAGAATCAATAGGTACTATTCCTATGTTGTGGGATGTATTATGGCTACTTATTTAACAAAAACCTTGTTTTACTTTAAATTTTAAACAATAAAACTGATTTTATAAACAAAATCGAGAGGCTTAAATTTTTTTAGGACGAAATCATTGTTACAATAAAATTGAAATTAAAAAAGCAAATTTATGTAATAGTTATTTGTTTTACAAGTGTTGAAAAGCTACTTTTTCATGCGAGTGTTTAAGTTACATTAACAGAAGTTTAAAGAAAACTTTTCTCACAAGTGAAACATTGTTTTTTCTACGACTCTTTTATTATTTTATTATATTCAATTACAAAACAAAATAACCTAAAAACGTGTTTGACAGCTGTTAAAATTTCTTTCATCTTTTGATTTTTAAGGTATAAACTTAAAATCATTAAACTTACCTTCCCAATTTAAATAAAGGGACTAAAAATTAGAATTTATTATACAAACACAATTAATTGTGTTCTTTAGACATACACATACAAATACAATACAAATTTTGAAACGAATGTCAAACGATCCTGTCAATTTCTTTTTCCACAGACCTGTCACTTTTCACACAGAAATGTCATTTTACATTCGTGTTTTGCCTTGCCAATTCTTTTTCTATGATGAAAAGATTCAGTTTCTAATCAACGATGCCGTTACGAAATGTGACTTTTACCTATATAGGTAGTTGTCGTAGAAAAAATACCTTTGGGCTATATTTATAAAACTCGTTTTTGCAATACAAGTTTGATTACAACATAAAAAAAATATATTGTAAAATATATAATAAAACCTATTTTATAAGCGTTAAAAACCCTATTTAGGACTGGGACTTTCTTTAAAAGCATTTTGAAATTGTAGGCCAACAAGAATATTCCCAAAGACAAGCAGGCTACGCCTCTGGCTTCTCATTGGCCATCATAGTGCCCTTGGTGATACTTTTTGTTTTTATTGCTTACAAATGGCTGCAAAAAAAACAAAAGGAGCGCGACGAGGACGAAAATGACGTGCAAGTGCAAAAATTGTAAGAAAAACAAAAATTGACTAAAACATTTTTTAATATTTTTTTTGTAGGCAAGCGCAAAGTAGGTCCCGAACTAAATTAAATACAAATTATTCTGACAATGACGATGAGGATGACAGTATTAATAAGTCTGGAGTGGGTCTACAAAGTCCAGAACCGGACTCTGATTTAGACAGTAACGTTAATAGTGCAGCTAGAGTAACAACAATTAATTAATTAAAAAATGTAATTTAAATTTTTCGTACAAATTTTTTAAGAATGCTTTATATTTTTAGGTATTTTAGTATTTTATAGTCTATTTATAGTAGGTATGTTTGTTTATATACAATGTTTTATTAATAAAAAATGCAAAATACAAGGATTTTCATTGACTCACCTTTAATAATCATAAAAATATTTTTACTTTATGATAACAACATTTATCTGTGTAATAAATCACAAAAAACAATAATACTTTATTTTTATTACATTTATAATCCACACAACATTATTATTCAAATAAACACGTAATACAAATTTAAACTTCGATTTGTCAAATTCAAATTTGGCGCGCGGAAATGGCATCCAGTGACTTTCGGCGATTCGGTTGGTAGTACCGCACACGTTGTCAAAGTAGACACTATTTGCGGTGTCACATTTGAAGCTAATTTTTTGTGTTAGAAAAATCAACAATCAAAAAAGAATATCGGCATTTAGATCGTGTTTCGTGGCCAGGAAAACCGCAAATTCCGGTTAATCGGCTGTTAACAGTGCTTAACGAGAGTTGCCGAAAGTTACCGAAAGATCCGTGGAAAGACCTTCTGTCAGTGTTCCTACAAACAACAAGCTACGGCCAGTAAGTGAGAATTTTTACCTTATTCTTTGCTTTATTTATCAATATTTCCACTCGTTTTACCTTAAGTAAGTTCAGTTTATGTTGATCTTAAAGCGGTAAGTGCAGTATAGTGTATAAGTTACTAGGGACTAGAATTTTCGAGATGAAAACTTGTACTGGTGATTTTTTGCACATATTCGTTATGCGTCACGTCCTAAAAGCATTTGGTCAATACTAGAACGTTAAATTACGCCGTTTATTGCCAAAAAATGAACAACAAAGCATCTATGAAACTAATCTCCCTCTATACCGTTCTTTCCGTGGTTTGTGTTAGTCAAAATCGGCATCATGTAAGCTAAATCGCGTTATTACTTTGGTAAATAAAGGAAACGTTTGATTGGGCACCTTGGCTTGATTGGGCTTTGTAAAAATAATAAAAAGAAACATTGCTTTGTGCGGGGGACCTTGAGATCGGAAAATTTGCCGCCTTTCGGTCAGCGACCTATCTTTGTTGAAACCAGGTGAACAATTAAAGTCCGTGTCTTCGATGGTCACCGGCACCAATTGAGCCAATGTATCTTAGTCATGTTTTTAATATTATTTTTCATCTTAACTCGCTCACAAGCGCTTATAACTTCCTTTAAATACGCTGGGATGCACGAAAAAAGGTTTAGTTATATCTAGGTCCTTCTGTGTATTTCATAATAATAATAGTAACACTTTCCACCTAACATTTAAGCATAGTAAACATTTCGAATGAAAAACAAATTATAAGTATTGTTTTTCTGACATTTGCTTTAAAAATAAATCAAAAATACCTACTGTAGATGAATTTAAATACATGGACTGAAATAATTCATTTCCTGACCTTGCTTATATCAAATCTTGCTTCATTTCCTAGATACAGGGTGTTTGTGTAAAATCTTATTTAAGTTGCTCCTGGATATATTTTTTTTCAAGCTTACAATAATTTTCATTTTATAACAAAACATTATACAAAAAAAATCATATTAATATTGGTTCAAACGCTAAGCTAGGACACATGAGCAGATTTTTTCCCAGTGTAATTTACTTAATTCCATTTAATGAATGGTGTTTATCTTTAAATTTGTTTAAAATCGATAGCATGAGGTTTTGTGTAAACGGAAAATAGAACTTGACCTAATTTCCTTAAAGTATTTAAAGTGTTTGGCCTCAAAGTTAAAATTTAAGGTTTTTTCGCGGCAAACAAACAATGTTGTTGCGAATTTAATTGAGGAAACAAAACAAAATGAAAAGATTTTCCTTTAAATATAAAAATTAACACTAAACAATTTTTACAATGTTTGAAAATGGTCCCAAAAATAATTTTAGTCGACATGTATTTTTTTGGTAATATTTGAAAACCCAGAAACATTTTTAAATTAACCAATAACACTCCGGCCGAATATAGTAAAACGGCTTCGGTACTGTACCTGAAGAAAATCTAATCTTTCATTAAAACCAAATTACCAAAATTTGTACAATTACACATAAAGTTTAAACAATTATTTATTTATATGAACAGGAAAATAATTAGATACGGAATAAATTAAAATAACAAAGTCAATTCAAATCTACAATTCAAATAATACGCTTTGTATAACATAATTTCTTATGCTGCATCTTAATCATTTGTTTTTGATTATTTATCGTAGCAAAAAAAATACAGTAAATTTCCAATTATTTTGCGTTATCTAATTTATTTGGTGTTCATGGAAAACGAGAAAAATAAACGTAATAATCAATGAGAACAAAATTATTTGCATGTTTGTTGAACAAAAATAATAATAACATGACTACCTACCTACTTGTTTTTAAAAATTGCAAAATAATTGTTTATTTAGAACTAGGGCCAGAAGTAGCGTAGGCACTTGAAAAGAAGAAGAAAAGAAAGACAAAAACAAAAAGCAAGAAACAGTGTAAGGAAGGAAGAAAGAAAGGAAAGAGAAGAAGGGGTAGAAAGATCAGAACAGTTGTTGGCAGAAATTTTAGCAGTGGAAGGGGTTGTGAGTCACGCCAGTAGAAGGAGTGGAGGTGTGAGATCAGGAACTGCGACAGTGGTGAGTTCAATTGGTTCTCGCGTAGTCCCACTAAGCACGACGGAGAGCCCCAGGCAAACGGGGCCACAAGCTCGTGTCTCGGGGAAGGACTGTGTTCCCCCCGCCAAGCGACGCTGGGTCCCACCATCAACTTTGCGACATCAGGATGCACTCACTCCCGAAGCCCGCAACGATCAGGTACTCAGTCGTTTTTTAGATTGTACTAGTTTAGTTTAGAAACACCACCTTTTGGCTGCTTGTTTCAAAAAGCGTGTAATGATTAGGGATTGCAAAGTTAATTATTTGCGGATCCGCAGTGCTTGATCCAGCAGGCTGAAAAATGCGCCGGATCCAGCTGGATTGCTGGATGAGGGATGCAAATAATTAACTTTCCAAATAATGGCGCAATAGTCTACGCTGACAGTGTTGCCGCTTTGCTAGGTGCACCCCTTTCTACACCGCATTTTTCGCTCTCGCTTGATAAAGTAAGTGGGGCATTCCACGTTACTCGGTAATTTTTGTCCCGCCCGTCACAATTAAAAATTGTGAGTAAAAACCACAAGTTATAAAATTAATATTTTATAATAAGATTTTTATTGTGCTTATAACTTATTAAAAGCATATTAAAACAATATTTTTAAATAAATTTTATAACGTGTAGTTTTTAGTCACAATTTTAAAATTAATATTTTATAATATTATTTTTATTGTGCTTATAACTTATTAAAAGCATATTAAAACAATATTTTTAAATAAATTTTATAACGTGTAGTTTTTACTCACAATTTTTAATGGGGTAGTTAAATTTTTTCTGACCTATACTTTTTATGGTTTTATTCAAGGCGTTTTGTAATATTAAATATTTCTGTGAAATCAGAATTTCAATTGAGTTTACCGTTTTCGAGATATTTACAAAAAATATACATTTTTATGACGTCACAAACCTCGCCATGTGACCAACATTCTAAGATTTCTATTGGTTGAAAATTACCCTGTTGTCAAGTTGTCTTGTTAATGATTTCATTCGGTTATGTCAGAAAATACCCGAAGAGGTTATGTACAAATACTGTCACTGTCAGTTGAGTGAAAGATGGTCACCAAATTCATTAAGTACCTATCTTCCTTATTACGAGGTATCATATTACAAGATATATCTAAAAGAATATAAAGAACTAGGCATTATACTAATGAAATGCATTTACGACAAAATATGATTATAATTATAGGTATTTACTTTATTTGTTTAAAAGCTCCAATGTTCAATGTAACCAACCATTCCACAAGATTCCTCTGCTTTGGAGTCCGTTATTAATAAAGCACTTATCTAATATCAATTACAAATAACATAACAATAACATTGATTTTCAATAATCTAAATTTAAAAAAAAAACATAACCCGAAAAAAAGAAACGTCAAAAAATCAATTCTTCTTCTTCTTCTCAACTAAAATTTTAGATCAAGTAGTTTTAAAACTAAAATATTATAACGTGGCGCCATCTATCGTAAGAATCTTAAACTAAACACCATAGAAAAAGCTGGCAACGTTGTCAATAGCCTAGTGACGTAATTAGGAGACTTTTTTTTGTAAATATCTCGAAAACGGTAAACTTAATTGAAATTCCGATTTCACAAAGATGTTTAAAATTACAAAACGCCTTGAATAAAACCATAAAAAGTATAGGTCAGAAAAAATTTAACTACCCCATTGTGACGGGCGGGACAAAAATTCCCGAGTAACGTGGAATGACCCAAGTGTCTTCTTGGCACCGCTGTGGCCCGGGTTGTTTGTTGTGAGAATTAATTTGACTAAATTTTAAGTTTAATTTATTTATAAACATTACATTTTATATTAGTAGTTAGTATATTGGAAACAAAAAAAAAATAAAAAACTTGTAATAATAATTATTTTGAAAAATAATTAAGGTAATAATCTTAGAATCTCTACATAAATTTTGTTCAAGCTTTTAAAATAGAAATCAGTTTAATGTTCCACATATATTTAATGGGGTAGTTAAATTTTTTCTAAACTATACTTTTTATGGTTTTATTCAAGGCGTTTTACAATATTAAACATTTCTGTGAAATCAGAATTTCAATTGAGTTTACCGTTTTCGAGATATTTACAAAAAATATAAATTTTTATGACGTCACAAACCTCGCCATGTGACCAACATTCTAAGATTTCTATAAATTACCCTGTTGTCAAGTTGTCTTGTTAATGATTTCATTCGGTTATGTCAGAAAATACCCGAAGAGGTTATGTACAAATACTGTCACTGTCAGTTGAGTGAAAGAAGAAGAAGAAGGAGGTTAAAGAAAATTCTGAAATTAAAAGTTTTATTGATAGGTTTACACATTGAAACACCGTGTGAAACCTAATAAAATGTAATAAATAGGTACCTAAAGCAGAGTTTAATATATTTCATAGAAAAAAGTGGCAAAATAAAGCTGAAAATGAATGAAAGAAATTTACAAAAAATAACAGTAAATGTAAGTTAACAATGGTATTTATGATATTTGTGTATAGTTTTTATAAAACTTACATCCCTGATGGTGAGCAAAATATGATTATAATTATAGGTACTTACTTTATTGTTTAAAAGCTCCAATGTTCAATGTAACCAACCATTCCACAAGATTCCTCTGCTTTGGAGTCCGTTATTAATAAATCACTTATCTAATATCAATTACAAATAACATAACAATAACATTGATTTTCAATAATCTAAATTTAAAAAAAAACATAACCCGAAAAAAAGAAACGTCAAAAAATCAATTCTTCTTCTCAACTAAAATTTGGTGGTTTTAAAACTAAAATATTATAACGTGGCGCCATCTATCGTAAGAATCTTAAACTAAACACACTGGCAACCATAGAAAAAGCTGGCAACGTTGTCAATAGCCTAGTGACGTAATTAGGAGATTGTTTTTTGTAAATATCTCGAAAACGGTAAACTCAATTGAAATTCCGATTTCACAGAAATGTTTAAAATTACAAAACGCCTTGAATAAAACCATAAAAAGTATAGGTCAGAAAAAATTTAACTACCCCATTGTCCCGTAGATATACTTACTTCAGATTATGTGGTTTAAAAGAGGATAAATAAACTAAAAATTGAAATATACGAAATACTGCAATATTTTTCTTCATACAAGTTATTCAGTCCTTTATTTATTTAGGTTTACATATTACTAATAGTAATTTCCTATAGTATAGCTAGCTAATCAGTTTTTTAACTAATTTACCAAAAAAAACATAACATGAAAATTGGTAATTAAAATTAGTCAATAAATTAAATTAATTAATTTAATTGCTGTCGAATTAAAGTTTTATTCCATTTATTTTTTATTTTCTATAAATTGGTACCTATTTTATAAATAGCTGTATCCGCGCTTAGGATTTTAAAGTGTCGAAAAAAAACGGAAAAATTGGGGAAAAACTGTTTTTCCCAGAGTCTTAAAATATTATTATTATTAAAAAAAGTAGCAATCAACAATTTAACATTATTTTGTTTAAAAAAAATCCTTTATTAAAAAAAAAAGTAAAACCGGAAAATTTTGAGAAAAAACAGTTTTTTCCGTTTTTTCTCAGGTCTTGGAAAAATTGCCTTTTGGGAAAAATTGTCTTTTTTGGGAAAAATTGATTTTTTTGTGGAAAATGTACACATTTCAAAAAAGTAGCAATCAACAACTAAACATTATTAAAAAAAAAAAAAAATATGCTTTAGTATAGAAAAAAATACAACTAAATATTAAATTAAATTGATTTAAGAATATAAACTTAATCGTTAAATATACTGTTTTTTGCAAAAATGGGTCCATTTAAAATATCCAATTACAAAATAATAAATTAAATAACAAAATTATAATTTTATAAATCAAAGTGTCAAATAAATCTAAAGTTTGTATCATACAAACCTTTGGACAAAATGAAAAAAATGCAAAAATCAATTTTTCTAAAAATTTACCAAATGTTACGTTTTTTTCGGATGATGTTGATCCAGCAAAAATCCAGCTGGGGAATTTTCAGAAAAATTGATTTTTGCATTTTTTATTAACCTTTGGCAAAGGTTAATACGAACAAAATGCAAAAAGGTTTTTTTCTACTCATATTACGGAATTTGACCGTTCTAATATCACTTTTATCTATAGAATGACATATATTCCGTAAAGTGTTACAGAATGAAATATTCTATCATCTGATGACAGAATAAACACTCGTGGCGATATCTCTGTTTTTAATATCTAACAAATTTTAGACCGATCCAACCTCACTTTCTTCCAAGTAAATTATTTTTCTACGGTATTTTTTGAAAACGTAGAAAAAGTATGGTCTGAAACACGTTTGGAATTGCATATTCCGCTCTCGTGAAACTCTTCACTCAAGTGAAATATGCTGTATTCCAAACTTGTTACAGAATATACTATTACCGTGGTGGATTGCAATCCCTAGTAACTTGTGTTGTTTAGGTGTTCCGCAAGGTGCGCGGCATCCTCAACAAGCTCACGCCCGAAAAGTTCAAGAAGCTGAGCGACGACCTGCTGCGCATCGAGCTGCAATCGTCCGTAATACTGCGCGGAGTGATTTACCTGATCTTCGAGAAGGCCTTGGACGAACCGAAGTACTCGTCTATGTACGCGCAGCTGTGCAAGCGGCTGACGGAAGAGGCGCCGAACTTCGAGCCGGAAGGCATCCCGTGCACGTTTCGCCTGCTGCTGCTCAACAAGTGCAAGTTGGAGTTTGAGAACAGAGCGAACGTGTACGAGAATGCGTGCGCGAGCGACGCGCAGGCGCAGACCCTCAGCGAGGAGGAGGAGGAGCGGCGCTACCTCGCCAAGCGCAAGATGCTCGGCAACATCAAGTTCATCGGCGAGCTGGGCAAGCTCGAGATCCTCAGCGAGAGCATCCTGCACATCTGCATCAGAGAACTGTTGGTGCGCCGGGGCGAGGATCCCTCCGAGGACCTCGAGTGTTTGTGCCAAATCCTGCGGACGTGCGGCCGCGTCCTCGACTCCAGCAAGGGCAAGAACCTCATGGACCAGTACTTCGAGCGGATGCGCCAGCTGGCCGACAACCAGGACCTCAACTGCCGCATCCGATTCATGCTCAAGGACGTGCAGGACCTCAGGCACGACGGATGGGTGCCCCGCAAGGCCACCCAGGTCGAGGGACCGGTGCCCATGAGCCAGATCAGACCCCAGGAAGACGACAGATCCAACCAGTCCTACAGAAGGTAAGTCGCTCGTTATACTTTTTATTAGCCCCATCTAGGTACTATGCTCCACACCTCAAAATCCCACCACGTGACCACGTACGGAACGCAGTCTTTTGAAAATTTGGCATTTAAGGTTATGTATCTGTCAAAGTATAGTCAATTAAAGAAATAATATTTATAGTGTTACCGCTTATGTTTAAGCGTTAAAAGTTAATAAATCTTTATAGTATCACAATAACAATGGTTAGTTTAAGAATTTAGGAATATAAAAACTGCATTTAATGAAAAAAAAGTGTAAGGTGCAATATAAGTGATATGTGCATTGGGTCTACATTTCTCCATAAAATACTTTTAACTAAACAGCATTCATTAAAAAAAATCTAACTTCTCTATTATGAAATAAGAATATCTGTATCAAAGGTATTTTAAGGTTAGAAAAATCTATTTTGACCAAAATAAATAAGTTGATTATTTGGAAGAGTGTTAATATACTAAATAATTGTTGAATATGGTTCAAATTAAATTGAAGCTTTTATACTTCTAATGACAAAACTTGTGCACACCTCTCGGCATACCTACTTTAAGTTAGATTATAAGAAAACAAACAATTTTTAGAAAAACTTGCAATGTGAAAATATTTAATACTCCCATGACATGTGATTTATTAAAAATTTTAAAGTTATAATGATTTTTCAGTGTAGATCAAATTCAGTTGAAGCTTTTTAACTATTTGTATTGACAAAACTTTATGTAGGTACACTTTTAGCTGGATAAGAAAAACCACATTTTTAAATACCATATTATACAGTCTTTTAAATAATCCAAAATACTTATTTATTTTGGTCAAAATAAAATTTTCTAACCTTAAAATTACAAAATTAGATATTTTTGTTATAATATATTAACCTACCTTTAAAACAGATATTCTTATTCCATAATAGAGAAGCTAGATTTTTTTTTAATAAATGCTGTTTAGTTAAAATTATTTTATGGAGAAAACCAGATATTTGGACCAAATGCACAAAAATATTACTTATTTGGCACCATACACTTTAGAATTTCATTAAATGCAGTATTTATATTCTTAAATTCTTAAACCATCCATTGTTATTGTAATGTTATAAAGATTTATATATTTTTAACGCCTAAACATAATATTATTTCTTTCGTTGATTATACTTTAACAGATACATAACCTGAAAAGCCTTAAATGCCAAATTTTTAAAAGACTGCGTTCCGTACATGGTCACGTGGTGGGACTTTAAGGTGTGGAGCATAGTACACTTACGGGAAATAGTAATGTCCATTTGAATGTTCCATTTTAATTGTTCGGAGACATTTGGGTTTTGGTAATAAAATTTTTAAACTCAATAATTCTACCTACCCGCTATTTATCATTCTTTCTATGAACATTTTATTTAACTTTTAAGCTTTTATACAATAATCTAAACCATTTAAATATTTAAGGAATAAAATTGATTTTAAAATAATTTAAATATAATATATGTTCTATAATTTATTTAATTGACTACATGTTATTTAATTAGTTGTTATTAATTTAATTTAATACTAAAATAATTAAAAACTTTTGCATAATTTTGCAAATAAAATTGTTAATAACAATCTTGAATTAAAATATATTTTCTTACTATGTTAATTAAAGCCATTAAAATTTTAAACTAAAATGCATTTTGAGCTTATAAAAAGAAATTCCCTTTTAATCCGTTTATCAACATTTTACTTTTTATTATTTGTTTTATGAAATAACTGCCCAAAACTTATTTCAATTTATAAAAATCCAATAAGGTATGAAAACAGCATAAACTTATAATTATTATAATAATTGAAGCTTGGTCTTCCCAAAGGGTCTAAGTGTCAAAAATAAAATTGTGAGTAATAAACAAAAATAGTAGATAAAATTTTAACAAAAATAATATGGAGTTTTGCATGGCACATAGACTATTTTTAATTAATAATTTAATATTTGACCAAATTGGGTTCAAACCCTTTGGGAATACCATGCTTCAATTATAATTTTTTCCTACTTTTTCAGCAAAACTAAATTTATGGTAAAATTTAGTGGGACCCATTTTTCAAGAAAATATTCTATTAAAACAATGCGCAAAGAAAGCGGCATTTTTATTTAAAAAGAAAGGTTAAATAATTATTAACAATTTTTTTAAATAAAAATGCCGCTTTTTTGCGCATTGTTTTAGCAGAATATTTTCTTAAAGCAAGGGTCCTACTAAATTTTACCATAAATTTAGTTTCACTGAAAAAGTACGAAAATCTGTAGAATTTCTATAAATTCAACTTTTACCTTTTAAAATAATTAATTTATCATAAAATTATAGAATACCTTTTGTGTAAAGCCTTTAATTCCCTACAAAAATTTGTTTTAGTTTTATCGGTCCACTAATCCGTTGACGAGTTAAAAAATTTCAAAGTACTTTAAAAATGAGGGATCTGTAAATTTTATATTAGGAGCTTACATTTTAACAGGACCATTTTTTAAAATATTTATGTTAATTTTTTTGTTATAATTATATCAAACGGTTTTTTGATAAATCCTAGTATATTTAATTTAAAAATTTACTAAATATAAAAATTCTAAAACATTTTTTTAATTTTGATACCTACATAAATAATTGAGGAAATATATATTATATATTTTATAGTTTTATACATACCTATTGTTTATATATTTTATATGTATGTTATAGTTTTATAGGTATGTTTTTTTATTATAATTATATCAAACGCTTTTTGATAAATCCAAGTATATTTAATTTAAAAATATACCAAATATAAAAATTCTAAATAAATTTTTTTAATTTTAACACATAAACATGCAACAAGTAATAAACATTGCTTTTTATGAGAAAGTATTTTTTAAAACATTTTATCATAATTGATGTGATTTTTTTATTTTCAGCAATTGCATGTATATTAATAAAAACAATTTAAATGTGCGGCCGCATTAAAAAATTATAAAATTTATAATGGTATTATAATATTTTTACAAGATATATTTGTCAGTCAGTCAATTTTTTTAAATCAAAAAATTTGTTCAATATAATTTTATACAATTATAAATTAAATTATTTTACCACCTTAAAGTTGCTTTCCATTACTTATTTTCGTAAAGTACCTACGTAATTTAAGAATTTTCTCACCTAAAACAAGAAAAAACTTTACTTATTTAGGTACCCATTTTATATATTTGGCAACCTAAAATCCCATTTCTAATAATGATCCATGTACACTAACTTATCCATCTACTATTTTATTGATGCTCTTCCTCTTTGGGAAGTTAAAACCCATCTAATAGGCCTTCTACTTTTTATATTTGGAAAAAGCTACTTCTTATTTTTTTAAAATAGATAATCAACTACCAGAAAATATTAAAACGCTTACATCCTTAAATTTGTTTACTCTACTCACTGAGAATTTGACATGTATTAATTTATTAGGGTGCTTCAAAAAATTTTTTTTTTCGCTCTTACCCTCTTAAATGTTTCTATTTAAAATAAAAAAAATTCTCACCAAATATGGACGTTCCAGCTCAACTCTAGAGGTCGCTGTTTTTATTTTAGTTTCACATTTAATTAACATGGGAAAAAATAATTTTATGTTTGGAATTTTATACCTCTGTATCAAAGTAACTTATGGCAATGATCATTGCAGTTTCTTATTAGGGATTCCGGCGGTACCACTAAATGCGGCCGATCGCTTTCCAGATATATTTTGTAATTGGTCAACAGTGAAGGGTGTGCGTGTTTCCTTGCCTATGATAGACCGGCGGCTGTGGTTTCCCGACTTCTTTTTAATTTTTTTATTATTGGCAGGTGGCTGCTATTCTCCAATTGAATGAGTAGAATTGTTTTAATTTTGTTAACGCTAATTAAAAATTAATATTTAAATAAACAGTAATTTCTATCTAGGCAAAATTTATAGTAATAAACACTCTGCATACTGTAGCTAGTTTAAAAAAAAGTAAAAATAAATCAGCCTCAATATTTTCAATGTTTTACGTATAAAAATAGGCAAGCACATACATTTTAAATTTAGGTCCAGATCCGACCGGAATTCCGGCGATCCGGTCCGGCCAGCGGCCGAAATTCCGGTTCCGGCAGGATCGGCAAAATACCCGATCCGGTGCATCCCTATTTCTTATTATTAATTATTCTGAGCCTGTAGATTGAGAAAAAGGAAGGTACAAATTTGGAAAACTTTTCAAATGCTCATTTTTTGGGTACCCCATTTTGCCCCCCTCGTTGCCTTGTTTTGCCCCCTTTCACCTCCCGTCTACTAATTGTACCATAAAATTAAAAAAAAAAAACAGAAAATTTGATGTTAATTAATCAAACTTTCACCTAGAAGAAATCAATTTATCGAAAAATAATAAGAGAGCTTTTTTGTAGAGCGTTACATTTTATATAAGAAACTGCAATGATCATTGCCATAAGTTACTTTGATACAAAGGTATACAATTCAATGGGAAACTAAAATAAAAACAGCGACCTCTTAGAGTTTAGCTGGAACCCCCATATTTGGTGAGGATTTTTTTTATATTAAATAGAAACATTTGAGAGGGTAAGAGCGAAAAAAAAATAATTTTTTTTTTGAAGCACCCTAATATAAATATATGTATTTTTTAATTTATCCCTGTTGTAGATGCTTGTAATCTTTTAAGGTTTAATAAATACATTACAAAAATAAAAAAAAATGACCAACATTTTCTTAAACTTTTAAAAAATAAAATGTAGTGGGGAAGTAATTTAAAAAAAAAATGAAATCCCCCTCGTAGGGACAGAAACAACCACCACGACCGCGACAACGACCGGTCGAACCTCAGCGAGCTGTTCCGGCACCCGCTGAAGACGCGCACCGGCTTCGACGACGTCCTCATGGGCATCAACCTCTCCTCCTCGCCGAACCTCATCCACTCGAACGCCAACAACCATCCGTTCCAGGCGAACGGCTTCGGAGGCGGCGGCGGTGGCGGGGGTGGAGGCGGCGGCGGCAACCAGCGCGAGGGCTCCTACAGAGGGCACAACAACCAGCGCTCGGGCGCCTACAACAACTACAACAACCAGCGCGGCCAGTACAACAGGAACATGCAGAACAACTCGCAATACAACAACCGTGAGTCTATTTTCGTTGGCAGAGTTCAGCCGAGTTCATATACAGGGTGTTATGTAATTAATGTTATATATTAAAATGGGTTGTTCCTTAAGGTCCATAAAGAAGCACCTGAAACTTTTTTTTCTAAATTCCAAAGTCTAAAAATAATTTATAATAACCTTTATCCTACCAAAAAGTACGCCACTGATCGACTAGGAACTTTAGGATAATCTGGTGGATTTATTATTTTATGGTTGGTAACAGTGTTTCCAAAATCTCTCAAAAAAGTTGACAAACATTGTTTAAATTTAGCTTAATTACAAAAATGACAAAATTAACAATGCAAATTGTCAATTTGGCGTTTTTATTAATTGTTGGTTATTTCATTTTTGTACTGAAGGTAAATTCAAACAAAATCTGCCAACTTTTATGACAGAATCTAGTGCATTTCTTTTAAATTTTAGGTTATGTTTTCAAATTGTAAATATCTTAACTAAGGGAAGTTTAACCTGTGAACTGGTCCCAATTTCATCTGAGTAAACAGAGAAAAAAACTGATGAAAAAATTAATTTTGTGGTTATGGATTTCAAATTTCAAAGGTACTAAATTTTCTAATCATTGCTTAAGCTAATAGCTGGATCAGTAAATAAATACAGAAGGGTATTAGAGCTTTAAGGGCATAAAACTTTTGTATTTATTGAGTTTTTATTTATTTTTTGCAAGAAAAATTTTTAGTAACAATTTTTTACATCTGGCAACGCATAGCTACTTTGTTGGTTGGTATCTATGTACTCACAAAATACAGGTGTGCAGAGATAAACAAGTGTGTAACCAGTGGCGTATCACAAAAAATATAAAAAACTTCTAATGCATATTTTTTCTTTATCTTTGAAAAAATGTTTTTTTAAATATTTTTCCTTTATTCCTTATGTCAAAAGGTATTCAGTATTTTAATATATAACATTAATTACATAACACCCTGTAGATGCGAATTTGCGAAATACGAATATTCGCATTTCGCAACTCCTATTCATATAGATGCGAATTGTCGGAACCATTTTAGGGACATTGTTTTCTCACTAGGCGATATTTGCCATGGTAATTTAGGGACATTATTTTCTCCCCAGGTGATATTTGCCATACTTGGTTAACATTTTCTATTTGTTTTATTATAAAACTTTAAGGTGAATTGAGATTTTGTGTTTTTATTATGGATGAACAATTATACCATTGGCGACGAAGGCGTGCAATTGCCGCTTATTTATTGTTGAAACAAAGACAGAAAAATAAACAGATCAAATAAAACTCAACAACGATGCAATACAAATGAAATAAACACAGAACATAAACAAAAATACGTATAACAGGGCTCCCACACCTCCTAAAACTCATAAAATTTTACTTAAATCTTGAAAACTCCTAAAATTCTCCTAAAATGGCAATAAATCTCCTAAAACTCCTAAAATCGTAAAAATTAAATTTAAATATTCCAACCTGACTTGCGTTTAATTAAGATATTGCTAAAAAAAATCTGTTTTAAAAAGTAATTTAAAAATATATATTTTAAGGTTCTATTCTATTAAACTCTTTTTAAAATGAATATCACAACCAAAATTTTTCTTAAAAAACAACGATATTTCGTTTTTTAGTAAAAAATATACCGTGTTATACAAACGTGTATATCAAACAAAAGGATTTTGAAATTTCTTTTAAATGACAGCTAAAATAGTAAACAATCTAAAAAATGTTTTGCTGTATTTTGCAAACTTCATATTTTGTTATGAGATTTTTAAGTATTAAGATATACATTACAATTGAAGTCCAAAAATTTAATTTTGACAATTTATTTTCTAAAATCAATTTTAAAGTTTAAAATACATTTTTGTGAGAAGATAAAAATTATTTTACAGAATATGAATATTATATTTCATAAAATAGTCTAACAAAAACGCATTTAGAACTGATTTTTTGAAATATTTTATCAAACATTTTACTTTTGGACTTGTACTATTCTTAATCTTACCGATTTAATTACTGTTAGTTATTAACTAAACGGTTAACATATTTTTTCTTAAAATATAAATATAACATCATATGATTTTGGCATAGTTTTTAAACCAAATCTATCGACGCTTTTTTTTTTAATAAAATTAAAAGTGGTGAAATTTATACTTGTATGTATATGTACCTCAGATATATACAAAAGTAGTAATTTTAATTTTATTTAAAAAAAACTCGTCGAGCGATTGGGCTAAAAAAACTAATCAATATAACTTATTTTTACAAAATAAGTATTAATTTTTTTCTTATTTTTGAAGTAGTAGGTATAGAGTTGTTTTTATTTAATTACAAAATTCATTTCCATACTTTATTTCTCCTAAAATTTTACAAAAAAACCTCCTAAATTCCTAAATAAAATTTGTAATTTTGCCGTGGGAGCCCTGGTATAATAGGCATCTGCATTAATGCGCATGCGCATCACGCCAAATTCGTGCGATTTTCGCAAAATATTGGATCAATCTCAAGATTCCCGCCCCCCCCGATTTCAAATCTTGCAAATTCGCAGAATCTGTCGATACGTCGAAACACTTTTCCCGCCAAATCAAATGGACCAATGAAAATATTTTCGCATTTCGCAAATTCGCATGTCGCATCTATATGAACCAGGCTTTCGTTCGCTAAACGAATAAATTTACAGAGAGCAAAAACAACGACCTGGCGCCCAGGTTCAAGAAGAACCTGATCGTCTCGAAGGAGGAGATGAGCGAGGTGGAGCTGCGTCCGACCACCATGCTCTTCAACAAGGCCTCCGTGAAATCGAACAACATAATGAACAGCCGCAGCATGGAGCCGCAGCTGACCACCAACAACGTCAAGCAATCGTCCTCGTTGGTGAAGGAACCGCTGCCGATAAAGCAGGTGCCGCTGGACAAGCCCAAGCAGTCGAAAAAGGACAAGGGGCCCAACAAGGAGGAGATCCTCAAGAAGTTCGGCACCCTGCTGGAGGAGTATTGGCGCGGCGACGTCGACCTCAAGCAAGCGATAAACTCCTACAAGGAGCACAAGGTCCCCGACAAGTTCGCCAAGGACCTCGTCCTCAACGGCCTCACCACCGCGCTGGAAAAATCCGGTAAGTGCTTTTCTCTTCATAATGCACCACCTGATGTTTATTTTTATTAATGGCCTTTCTCTTTGAAAAGGTAAAACCCTACTCTACTTAAATTGTTTGCTAAATTTTATTGATCTTTTGTCTAACTTTTCAACTTATTTTATTAATGTATAACCAGATAAAAAACAAGCACAGTTTTTTGAGTTTCACAAAATTATTTTAATTTAATTCTGAAGAATTCTGAAGAAATTAAAATAAATTCGTGAAACTCAAAAAACAGTGCTTGTTTTTTATCTGGTTATAAATCCAGTGAATCGGGTTTCATCCAGTAAAGGTCGAAAAAATAAAATATTTAAAGACTTGTTTTATATTAGATTCTTCAAAAGTGCATATAACATTCTAGAAGGGCCTTTCCATCTTAAATCGACCCGGAAAATTTTGTATCGACATTTTTTTAGTTTTTCTGTCGAAATCGATAGACCAGTATTTTTTCTTTTTGCTTAAATTTGTTTTTTCACCCGTAGGAAATTGTAATATTCTTGGTTGAATATTAAAATACGGGAGAGAACTGTGTGGATAAAAATCATGTATCCTTAATAACTTAAAACTTTATTTATTCATTACCAAATTACAACTAACTTAATATTCTACAATTTCTTGTCCCCCCTACGTTATACATAAAAAACTGCGCTGCCACCGTGCGCTTCAACTATAATGTATATACAGTTTGGCTCTAATCATATACTATATTACAGAAATTTTTGAAAAATGGACCGTACATCGATTTTCCTCTTTTCACGAGTGACATTTTTTATTGAAAACGCGATAACTTGGCCAAAAATGTTTCGAACGTTACAATTTTTTTTTTAAATTGTAGGTTAATGTTTACTACATACCAAAAATTAAGTAAATTACTCAATTTAATTTTTTTTTTTTTTAAATCAAAATTTTTACATTAATAATATGATTATGTACAATTTTTCATTTTGCTTAAATTTTATTTGTTTACCTGTACGAAATTTTTGAAAAAATGGACAGAATCATTGATTTTTTCTTTTTACGAGTGAAATTTTTTCTTGAAAATGCCATAACTTGGCCAAAAATGCCAAATTTTTTTTTATTAAATTGTTGGTAAATGTTTACTACATAGTAATAAAAAATAACTTTTAGGGATTTTTTTAAGTAAATAAAAAATATGCTGTTAAAAGCCGTATTTTTGTTAGTATACCCTGAAAATTTTGTACAAATCAAACGAACAGTAACGAAGATACAGTGCTTCAAAGTTGGTAAAAATGACCCCTTTTTGATTATTTTTCTGAAAAGTGGTCATTTTGGACGACTTTGAAGCGCTGTATTTTCGTAACTGTTTGTTTAATTCGTACAACATTTTCAGGGCATACTAACAAAAATACGGTCTTTCATAGCATATTTTTTATTTACTTCTAAAAAAAATTACCTACAATTTAAAAAAAATGTAACGATCGAAACATTTTTGACCAAGTTATCGCATTTTCAATAAAAAAGGTCACTCGTGAAAAGAGAAAAATCGATCAAATATTTCCTTCGGGTGAAATAACAAATTTAAGCAAAAAGAAAAAATACTGGGCTATCCACAGACCACCAAAACAAATGGACGGATTTGTTTACGTTTAAAAAGCGAGTAAAGTATAGTTTCACATTCTAAACACCGTCGAAAGAAACACGGCTTCCAACGTTGTCAGAAGTATAGATTACACGCCTTTTTGGACGTTCATCATAATTATTATTATCATAACACAGAATTAAATCCGACATATTTAATTCTGCGTTAGCTAACACAGAATTAAATCCGACATATTTAATTCTGCGTTAGCTAACACAGAATTAAATGCAATTAATTCCGTGTTAGCTAACCCAGAATTAAATATGGGGGATTTAATTCTGTGTTAGCTAACGCAGAATTAAATATGGCGGATTTAATTCTGTTTTAGCTAAGGCAGAATTAAATAATAAAAATGAATTTAGTGTAATTGTCCCTTCTACGCCTTCGTAGAGTTTAAATACATTATTTTTTACTAAAAATAACAATACATGGAAATACCGTTTGTAAGTACCTACCTACTTATTATTTTTTTTAATCCCAATACGTCACTGGAAGAAAACATAAAATTCTATCGCCAATTTAAGGCTTAGACTGTGACCGTTTGTTGACCGCAAACAAAGCATTGTTATTGAATGGCAATGCGCCGTCCATTTGTTTTGGTGGTCTGTGGATCTATCGATTTCGATAGAATAATCGCATTTTCAAGAAAAAATGTCACTCGTATAAAGAAAAAAATTTCTGTGAAAATTAACGACCCACTACTTTTTGTCTGGTCTATTTTCTATCTATATCTATTTTAGAAAGCACTCGGACAATTTTATGATTTAAAATTATTTCTCACCTTCCACATTCCATTCTTCATGCTTTCCGTCATATTGTTATGATGTTCGTGTTGTTGTCTTTAGACGTGGAGCAGGAGAAGCTGATCAAGTACCTCAGCAACCTGAAGGAGGAGAACGCGGTGAGCGGGCACTCGGTGCAGGAGGCGTTCAAGTCGCTCTGCTGCGTGCTCGAGCAGCGCGACAGCGAGCAAACGAAGGCGACCACTTCGGCGTCGGTGCTGCTCGCGATGGCCATCGCCGAGCATCTGGTGCTGCTCGGCGACGTCGCCCAGCTGACCGACAACGGCACGCACTACCCGCTGTTCCTGTCGGTGCTGCAGTACGTGCACAAGAAGCGCGGCCGCAGCGAGCTGTCCGAGCTCTTCAACAAGAGCAAGGTGAGTGGCGACCACGGAACTAGGGTTCTAAAATTTCCGGCAAAATTGAGCCGGCGAAAAAAACGGAAAAATTGGGAAATTTTCTGAAAAATTGCCTATTTTATTTTTTAAATTTTATTCAAAGGGTAATACGAAAAAAATCAAAAATCAAAATGTTCTAATTTTTACGGATAATATCCGTACACTGATATTGAGAAAAAAGTGAATTTATATTATTATTATTATTATATTTATAATCATAATACACTGCCCGTCAAAATTAACGCATAATAAGTAAAAAAATTAACTGTAAAACGCCTTTACCAATCTTTATAAAATTTTGGATAAAAATACTTAACTTAATATCTCAGTTTTCGTGTTCAAGGGTTTTTGGAAAAAATATCCTTAAAGCCCTTTTATTTAATAATAAAAAAAAACGCTCAAAAAAAACTTGCTGTGAAATACCGTATTTTTGTAAGTACGAGGTGTGTTCAGAAAATAATGGGAATTGTTAAATTTCGCGGGTTCGGAAGGTCCGGTTGTCATAAAATTTTCTTTATTATGTTGGTATACATGCCCCCGAAGTATGATAAAAACTTTAGCTGTTTTCATTGTTTACTTTGTCTGTGGTAGCCGCTAAGGTTAGACGTGTTTTAGAGGATCGGCGATTTTTGTTCGTTAAAAGAAATGGATCAAAGAATTTGTACCCATATTGCTTAAAAAATTAAATAAATGTTAACAAAGGCCTATAGTGAGTCTGATAAAAGTAAAACAAGAGTTTGCAAGTGGTATAAGAGTTTCCAAGATGGCCGTGAAGACGTTGAAGATGACGAACGCACAAGCACTTTAACAACCGATAAAAACCTGGAAAAAGTGGAATAAATGGTTATAAACCATCAGAGAAGTCGCTGATGATGTTGGTATATCGATTGGCTCATCCCATGAAATTTTTTTTAATGTTTTGGGTATGAAACGCGTGTTTGTTCCAAAATTGTTAAATTTTGAACAAAATTTTTGGCCAAAAACAATACTGTAATGATGCCCCAGCCTTCTTATTCGCCAGACATGCCTCTGTCTGACTTTTTCCTATTCCCAAAAATAAAGAGAACCTTAAAGGGCCGTCGTTTTGCAAGCATTGATGACATTAAAAGCGCATCGCTGAAAGAACTAAAGGCTACCTCAAAGATCGAGTTTTAGAAGTGTTTCGAGTATTGGAAGAAGAGCTGGCACATGTGCATAATCTTCAATGGGGACTATTTTGAAGGCGACAACATTAATGTAGACGAATAAATAAATATTTGTTTCAAAAAACGAAAATTCCCGATATTTTCTGAACACACCTCGTATACCCTGAAAATGTTGTACAAATCAAACAAACAGTTACAAAAATACAGCTTTGAAGCACTGTATCTTCGTTACTGTTCGTTTGATTTGTACAAAATTTTCAGGGTATACTTACAAAAATACAGTCTTTAACAGCATATTTTTTATTTACTTAAAAAAAATTTTCCCTAAAAGTTATTTTTTAAACGTTTTTTTATTATTAAATAAAAGGCTTTAAAAATATTTTCTCCAAAAACCCTCGAACACGTAAACTGAGATATAAGTTGAAGTATTTATTATACAAAATTTCATAAAGATTAGTAAAGGCGTTTTAGAGTTAGAATTTTTTTGCAGTGCATTATGATTGTAATAGGTAATTATACCATTTATTTTAATTTAGTAAGAATATTTTACCGGGCCGTAAAAAAACATATTCGGTGCTGTAACTTTTATTTAACACTTCGATTTATAAAATTATTTTGTAGTTGGATATTTTTTTTGCAAAAAAAAACCCAACCAACACTATATTTCTCGTTTACGTTTATTTTCTTAAATCAATTTAATTTAACTCAAAGTTTATTTTTTTTGTAATAAAGCATATTTTTTTTTAATTAAAATTATGTTAAGTTGTGATTGCAACTTTTTTTCAAATGTATATATTTTCGAAAATTTTCCAAAAAACCCAATTTTTTCAAGGCCTGGAAAAAAACGAAAAAAACAGGTTTGTTACCCAATTTTTCCGGTTTTTTTTTCGATACTTTAAAACCCTACTCGGAACACGACTTGCGTCCCATTTACAGAGGTCGTGTGCATTTGAGACGAGATTTTTCCCCATTTATTTAAAACGAACAATTTTTAACTGAAACTTCAAAATATGATTCAATACATCGAACAAAAATTTTCCCTCAACGTTTTAAATTTCCAATAATTAGATGCATTTTTTATCATCACAGGTAAGTTAAATAATTATTAAATAATACAAGTCCACTATAAAAACTTGTTTTATAAAGTATAGTTGCATACTATATAAAACAAGTTTGCAGTATTTATATAAAAATCATTTCCAGCTCTTGTATTGTGTTCATGAATATTATTTACAATTTTTAATTTTTTATACACTGCGCGTCAAAATTAATGAATAATAAGTAAAAAAAATTCTAACTCTTAAACCCCTTTACCAATCTTTATGAAATTTTGTATAACAATACTTCAACTTATATCTCAGTTTACGTGTTCAAGGGTTTTTTGAGAAAATATTTTTAAAGCCCTTTTATTTAATAATAAAAACCTTCAAAAAATAACTTTTAAGGATTTTTTTGTCAAGTAATTAAAAAATATTCTGTCAAAGTCCGTATTTTTGTTAGTATGCCCTGAAAATTTTGTACAAAACAAACGAACAGTAACGAAGGTACAGCGCTTCAAAGTCGTAAAAATGACCACTTTTTGATTATTTTGCTGATAAATGGTCATTTTTGACGACTTTGTTGCGCTGTATCTTTGTTACTGTTCGTTTGATTTCTTGTACTTGAAATTTCACTTGAAATTTTTATGACATTTATGAAATTTACTAAAATTTCTTAAATTTATGAAATTTATTGAAATTTTCAATAAATTTGAATCCCTTTAAGTGTAATATATTAATATTGAAATAAGCCCATTCAGGGCCCATGGCAAATTGCCTCTCTTACCTGCTACCCCTCTGTGGACCACCAATAATATAAATAGTAAATACCTATGTTTACCAAAATTTTCTTGAGATTTCTTTTTAAAATATTTTTGAAATTCCCAAAACTAAGAGAGCACTTTAAGGTAACATAATGAGATTGTGCCACTTCAATCTTTCATAATTATTATTTTTATATATTTTACTGAAATTTTACGAAAATTGAAGAAACTTCATCAAAATTGTATGAGCCAAAGGCATTTTTATCCGTTTTCCAATGCAATTATAGCAAAAGTAAAAATTTAAATTAATCATGACTTTTTTTAAAGTCTGATTTAATTTACAAATTAAATTAATTTATACCAACCCTGCATATAAGTAACAATAATTAAATATAGTGTTAATTTTGTTTGAAATTTTTAAAATTTTCACTTTTCCAAATAAATGAAATTGTGGGAGCATTTTCGGGATTTCGAAGCAGTGTTGTCAATGAAACGGCAATTGTCGTGTTTTAACGGCTTTTTAGACTAAATGTATGGCCACAGCTTCATGGTACTGCCGTGCATTTAAAAACACGGCTTTTTCCATAAAATATTAAATTTGTATTTCACCATTTCTGTCTAAAAATATTTAAATATTAAATAAAAATGCTATTTAAAAATATCAAATTCTGTTATAAAATAATTAATTTTAAAATAAAAACACTATTTAGTTTTAATGAAGTTGATAATCTTCTGGAAGTGTAGGACCAAGACCTGACTGAGCCTAATTTTTTCTGCTTAGACAATTGGCAACTCTCGTCGAAGCCACGGGGATTTCCCGCTTTATATTATTTTATTACAATTGTAAATTAAGTGCGTGAAATAAGGGTTACATTTTTTACAAATAAAAATGGATGAAATGAATGAATTTCAAATTTGACACGGACATACATAGTTTGTAAAAACACGGCAATTTTCGATAATAATTAATAATAATATTAAATAATAAAATACTTTATTTTCATCCCAAGAAACATACAGTTTATATAGGGACACCTCTAATCATACAATTTAATACATATTTTTTAATTATAAATACATTTTTTAAATCTAAATTAATTTTATTTTCTTAATACATTTGTCTAAATAGGAACATATCATTATAATATAATATCACAGAAAAAAGAAAAAATATTACGATATATCATTGTTTATTCAATTTTTTTTTTTAATTCAATAAAATTTGCCACACAAGACGACATATGCTTTTTAAATTTAAATCCTTTAAGTTCTTTTATATTGTTTGGTAATTTGTTATAAACAGATGCTCCCTTAAACAGTATAGAGTTTTTACCGAATTCTGAAAATACTCTAGGTAAATCCACATTTTTACTAATTCTGGTTGCATAATTGTGCACATCTCTTCTATGGGAGAATTCAATACATGAGTGGCGTGATCCGTTTAAAACTTGATTTATAAAAATATTTACTTGATATGCATATATACTTTTTAATGACCTAATATTGCAATCCTTATAAAGATCAGCTGTTGGATAGCGACTTTTGAGAGAATAAATATTTTTAATTGCTTTGTTTTGCAATACTTTTAAGCGTTTTAAATTTTTATCATAAGTACAAGTCCATACAATTTTTAAATATGTAAGTGACTATGAATCAGTGAAAAGTAGATTGACCTTAAATACTTTTAATTTCGACCGGTTGGCAGCACTGTTTCGAAGCATTTTCTCTGTGCAGGTGAACCTACTGAATCAACTTCCGGAAAGCGAGCGCAGCAAGGAACGTCTCGGCGAGATCCTGGAGGAGAGGGAGCTGACGTTCCTGTACCCCCTGCTGCGCATCCAGGCCGACCTGGGCAGGCAGCTGCACGCCGATCCGAACCCGTCGAACTTCTACAAGTGGATCAAGGAGAACCTGGACGCGAGCACGTTCACCGACCCTGGCTTCATCAACGCCTTGATGACCGTTTTGCTCAAGTACATCGCCAACGAGGCGTCGTCGGCGTCGGCGGCGGCCTCGAACGCCGACGAGAAACAGGTGAGACCGGTGGTTTTTCGGAGAGAGGTGTTGTGCATAGAGATTAGGGTGGGCCGATTTTATATTAAACTTCTAAAATTTAAAAATATTAAATTCTGCATTTAAGAAAAAGTTGTGAAATAGGAAAGTAAACATTTTTTGCAAAATATTTTTTTTGATATCTATATGTTTTGAACTGCCGCAAAGCCTCTAAAAATTTAAAAGTAATTTTTAAAAAAATTAAAATTGTTTATAAGCGGGAAAGTTGTGAAATAGGAAAGTAAACTATTTTCCTTTAATACTTTTTTTCTTTTTTAATGTTTTGAACTGTATGAAGTCAAACTGTAAATTTTTAGTTTTACAATAGTTGCAATTATTGGAGAGACGCGTCTAGACGGCGTAAAATGGAAAATAAATATTTTTTAAGATTTTCGTGTTTGACGTAGGACAGTTGACAGTTGGCTTCACTGTTTATATAAATTATAATATTTTGACATCGTCAATTAGTTGAATAATAGAAATTTTTACAAGTAGTATCTGTTTGTGTTTGTGAAAAATGGCAGGTAAAAATGGATTATAAATTGAATTAAATTTGTGTTGATGATAAATTCATTTTTATTTTTGTTTTTTTTTAAATAAATATTTATCATTTAAAACTTTTTTTAACCCTATTTTCTCTCAGATAATTTTTTTCGTATTTATAAAGATACTAAATTACATTAAGATCTTTCAAGGGCTTGCGGCAGTTTAAGAAATTAAAATTAAAAAAAAACTCTTATAATATTTTTCTGGCCTTATAAATGCACAACTTTTCCACCATTGCACAATTTGATATTTGAAAAATATTAAAATCTGCCCACCCTAATAGAGATGCGACTTGAAAAAAAAACGGTCGGTTTTTTTCAGGTTTTTTTCATTGTTTTTTTTCAAATGGTTTTTTTCACATTTTAGGTTTTTTTTCAAGATAAGTCCCATTTGCCTAATTTTTTAGGTTTCATGGACTAAAATTAGCCACTAAATGACAATTAGTAAATGTAAATACAGTCTCGCGCTATGCACGCGCCACCACCACCGAATTGACCAATAAGGGCCGCGCTTGTTTTGATTTGGTCCTAAGAAAAGTAACTACCTATAATATTTTTGAGTCAGCGCTTGATTTTTTAAAAAGCTACCAAAAGCACTTTTTTCATGATTTTTCAAATTCATGTAGAGTATGGAATTAAAAAAAAAAAACAATAGCAAATTCTTGTAGAACATTCATTCATTGGTGGTAAAGTCAGAACATTCCATGGACCAGAAAGCCAAAAAAAATCGATTTTTTTTATTACGGTATTTGTTAGGATTGAGCGTTGCACATTTTTCATCTAAAAATCTCAAAACTAGAAACTTCAAGCTTCAAATTGCTTTTTTTACGGCTGCAATACGACCATTTTTTAGTAAAGATACAGCTATCCGAAGAATCGCAAAACAATTTTTTTTATCCTTTAATTTTTTTTATTGGTGTAGAAGTTTTAAATTGCTACTAGTATCTAATGTGGAAACTACCAAATAATAAGAAATCAGATTTTTTAGTCTTGGTCAAAATTTTCAATAATGAAAAATTTAATATATTCTACATTTCACTTTATTATTAATATATCACGGTGCTGTTCTGAGAGGTGATTTTTGGACTTTCTGTGAAACCTATTTTTTTTTATATTCTTGTTAATTAGGTCATAACTAAAATTTTAAGAGCAAAATAAAAAAAAATTGACGGTTTGAATTGTTTTAATTGGCTGTTTATTAAAAATATTATGCACTCTTTCAATTATCCAATTAAAACTAGCAATTTAATTTAAATATTTAATATTTGCATAACTAAAAAAAAGGTTTTTACAATTTTTTTTATAAATTTTACTGTTTTGTTGCAATAAACGTTCAAACTTTTAATCTAACCTTTGACGTATACATTTATGTTCCCTTAATTAATATATCCTTAAAGGTTGCCATGAAACTTAGATCTATTAAAAATTTATTTGATGTTTGAAGTCATTTTCAGTATACGTATTCTATAATTTTTGTTTAGTTCTTTTAAGTGTTTTTTATAAACAAAAATGAAAAATTGTAGTAAAAGTTATGAAGAAATTCATGAAATTTAACTAAGGACCAGTTTATTCATCTTTAGTAAAGTTTATCGGGCCGATAACTTTCATGTCTTGGCAATATCTAGTATCCAAAGAAATTATTCGTCAAATAAATCAAAAATGAATAAATCGGCCCTAAATAAAATGTGGCACCCTTAGAATTATTGTTTAATAAATGTATACTATACATTTAACCTTAAATTAAAACTTTAAACGTGTATTACAACAAAACAGTAAAAGATATAAAAAATGTATAGACCTTTTTTTAGGAAATTAACTAATCTTTAATCTGATTTAAAAAGTTATGATAATATTTAAATAAAATCGCAAGTTTTAATTGGAGAATTGAAAGTGTGCATACATATTTTTAATAAACATCCAATTAAAACAAAATTAACCGTCAATTTTTTTGACCTAATTAATGACCTAATTAACAAGAATATAAAAAAAATTAGGTTTCACAGAAAGTCCAAAAAAAGGTTTTTTTCATGTTTTTTTTTTCACATTTGAAAAAAAACCGTTTTTTTACATCTCTAGTTGTGCAGCAGGTGGTTTTTTTCTTCTTCAGATAACCGAGAAGGAGAAGGGCATGCTGGTGCGCTACCAGCCGATCCTGCACGCGTTCCTGCGCGAGCGGCCCTCCCTGCAGCTGGTGGCCGTCTACTCGTTGCAGGTGCACTTCCACGGGCTCGGCTTTCCGCGCGGTCAGCTCCTGCGATGGTTCATGGCGCTCTACGACCTGGAGATCGTCGACGAGGAGGCCTTTCTCAACTGGAAAGAGGACGTCACGGACGCCTATCCGGGAAAGGGACAGGCGCTCTTCCAGGTATGTAATTTATACAGACTCCACAAGGATTTTTCATCATTTCAAAACATTAGATAAAAAAGTTTGATTTTTTGGTATAATTTAATTTTCATTTATATCATTATCTTGGATTTTACGATATCATTTCTTTTATATTTTTATTTTATAATATACAAAACTTAACAAGGATTTTTTTTATCATTTCAAATCATTATTTACGATAAAAAGTTTGGAATATCATTCTTTTGGATTTTTTTTATAATTTTACAAGATAATTTATAAATAAGTACATTTTTTACGATTTTACGATTAACATATCATTTCTTTTATATTTTTATTTTACAATGTACAAGACTTCACAAGGATTTTTATCATTTCAAAACATTATTTACGATAAAAAGTTTGGAATAACATTTTCTTGTATTTTTTTACGATTTTACGATTAATATATTTTATCATTTCTTTTATATATTTATTTTACAATGGACAAGACTTCACAAGGATTTTTTTATCATTTCAAATCATTATTTACAATAAAAAATTTGGAATAACATTTTCTTGTATTTTTTTTACGATTTTACGATTAACATATTTTATCTCCACGCGGTCTATAATTTAAACTTTATTGTTGTCAACATTCGATAAAGAAATACCTTGTTATGGCCTAGGCCGATAAAAATTTTTATGAGGCAAGTAATTAGTTCGATTTTTTCTCGCTAGGGGTATTGTTTTGACAAATTAATCCTTTTCTAAGAAATTAACGTACTAAACTGGTTTAATTTATTTATAATATGCACTAATTTGTTTGTTTTACTGTTAAAACATTATAATGTTTAATATTTTTCATTAAATTATTGTAAAATTAAATATGAATAATAAAACAAAAAGTGTGGTTAGGACATTGCAATTTGACGTTTCTGTGGATTTCACAGTTGTTTTCTTTTTCTACGATTTAAATTATCTTTAAACTTTAATTTGCTTTAAATTTTCAGTGAAATTAAATGTTAAACACAGCGTAAACATTCCAAACTACCTATTTTTTTAATAAAAATGCAAACAAATTGAAATTAGATACCTATTTATTAAACAATTAATTGAATTCAATGTAATAGCAAGAGGGTAAGTAAACCATTTTCTTACAAAAATCCATTTCTACTTAAATCATGTAGCTAGGTATTGTCAAACTATTACTGCTTCTAAAAGAAATAATAATTATTGTACATTTAATGTAATCTTTAGCTAATAAATAAATGAGGTTCTAAAAAAGTGAGGTTAGGTCGATTTCATGTTGAATTAAATTGACCTATATAAAGTGCTTTGAAGATAAAATGTTGTATGCCATTCGGCCAAGAAGTGTCTTTTTGTGCTTCGCTCAATTGTAGGCCTCCGCTACGCGTCGGCCTTCAAACTTTGGGCTTAGCACAAAAAGCCTTACTTCTTAACCTAATGACATAAATAACTATTATCATTTCTTTTATATATTTATTTTACAATGGACAAGACTTCACAAGGATTTTTTGTCATTTCAAATCATTATTTACGATAAAAAGTTTGGAATATCATTCTCTTGGATTTTTTTTTTAATTTTACAAAATAATTTATTAAAAAATACATTTTTTACGATTTTACGATTAACATATCATTTCTTTTATATTTTTATTTTACAATGTACAAGACTTCACAAGGATTTTTTATCATTTCAAATCATTATTTACGATAAAAAGTTTGGAATAACATTTTCTTGTATTTTTTACGATTAATATATTTTATCATTTCTTTTATATATTTATTTTACAATAGACAAGACTTCACAAGGATTTTTTATCATTTTAAATCATTATTTACGATAAAAAGTTTGGAATATCATTCTCTTGGATTTTTTTTATAATAATTATTTTACAAGATAATTTATAAATAAATACATTTTTTACGATTTTACGATTAACATATCATTTCTTTTATATTTTTATTTTACAATGTACAAGACTTCACAAGGATTTTTTTAAATTTAAATCATTATTTACGATAAAAAATTTGGAATAACATTTTCTTGTATTTTTTTATAATTTCACAAGATAATTTATAAATAAATACTTTTTTTACGATTTTACGATTAACATATCATATCTTTTATATTTTTATTTTACAATGTACAAGACTTCACAAGGATTTTTATAATTTCAAATCATTATTTACGATAAAAAGTTTGGAATAACATTTTCTTGTATTTTTTACGATTTTACGATTAACATATTTTATGATTTCTTTTATGTAGTTATTTTACAATGAACAAGACTTCACAAGGATTTTTTATCATTTCAAATCATTATTTACGATGAAAAGTTTGGAATATCATTCTCTTGGATTTTTTTTTATAATTTTACAAGATAATTTATAAATAAATACATTTTTTATGATTTTACGATTAACATATCATCTTTTATATTTTTATTTTACAATGTACAAGACTTCACAAGGATTTTTTATCATTTCAAATCATTATTTACGATAAAAAATTTGGAATAACATTTTCTTGTATTTTTTTTACGATTTTACGTTTAACATATTTTATAATTTCTTTTATATATTTATTTTACAATGGACAAGACTTCACAAGGATTTTTTATCATTTCAAAACATTATTTACGATAAAAAGTTTGGAATGTCATTCTCTTGGATTTTTTTTTTAATTTTACAAGATAATTTATTAAAAAATACATTTTTTACGATTTTACGATTAACATATCATTTCTTTTATATTTTTATTTTACAATGTACAAGACTTCACAAGGATTTTTTATCATTTCAAATCATTATTTACGATAAAAAGTTTGGAATAACATTTTCTTGTATTTTTTTACGATTTTACGATTAATATATTTTATCATTTCTTTTATATATTTATTTTACAATGGACAAGACTTCACAAGGATTTTTTATCATTTTAAATCATTATTTACGATAAAAAGTTTGGAATATCATTCTCTTGGATTTTTTTTTATAATTTTACAAGATAATTTATAAATAAATGCATTTTTTACGATTTTACGATTAACATATCATTTCTTTTATATTTTTATTTTACAATGTACAAGACTTCACAAGGATTTTTTTAAATTTAAATCATTATTTACGATAAAAAATTTGGAATAACATTTTCTTGTATTTTTTTATAATTTCACAAGATAATTTATAAATAAATACTTTTTTTACGATTTTACGATTAACATATCATTTCTTTTATATTTTTATTTTACAATGTACAAGACTTCACAAGGATTTTTTACATTTCAAATCATTATTTACGATAAAAAGTTTGGAATAACATTTTCTTGTATTTTTTACGATTTTACGATTAAAATATTTTATCATTTCTTTTATGTAGTTATTTTACAATGAACAAGACTTCACAAGGATTTTTTATCATTTCAAATCATTATTTACGATAAAAAGTTTGGAATATCATTCTCTTGGATTTTTTTTTTTATAATTTTACAAGATAATTTATAAAAAAAATACATTTTTTACGATTTTACGATTAACATATCATTTCTTTTATATTTTATTTTACAATGTACAAGACTTCACTAGGATTTTTTATCATTTCAAATCATTATTTACGATAAAAAGTTTGGAATAACATTTTCTTGTATTTATTTACGATTAACATATTTTATCATTTCTTTTATATATTTATTTTACAATGGACAAGACTTCACAAGGATTTTTTGTCATTTCAAATCATTATTTACGATAAAAAGTTTGGAATATCATTCTTTTGGATTTTTTTTTATAATTTTACAAGATAATTTATAAATAAATACATTTTTTACGATTTTACGATTAACATATCATCTTTTATATTTTTATTTTACAATGTACAAGACTTCACAAGGATTTTTATAATTTAAATCATTATTTACGATAAAAAGTTTGGAATAACATTTTCTTGTATTTATTTACGATTAACATATTTTATCATTTCTTTTATATATTTATTTTACAATGGACAAGACTTCACAAGGATTTTTTATCATTTCAAATCATTATTTACGATAAAAAGTTTGGAATATCATTCTCTTGGATTTTTTTTTTATAATTTTACAAGATAATTTATAAAAAATACATTTTTTACGATTTTACGATTAACATATCATTTCTTTTATATTTTTATTTTACAATGTACAAGACTTCACAAGGATTTTTTTAAATTTAAATCATTGTTTACGATAAAAAATTTGGAATAACATTTTCTTGTATTTTTTTATAATTTCACAAGATAATTTATAAATAAATACATTTTTTACGATTTTATGATTAACATATTTTATCATTTCTTTTATATTTTTATTTTACATTGTACAACACTTCACAAAGTTCGCAAAGTAGATCAAAATTGACAAAAATTTCAAAAATTTAAGCTTTAAAGTACAAAATTAAAAAATAATAGGACAAATTTGCACAGTAGTTCAAAATTTAAAAAAATGTGTGAAAGATTTGTTTAAATCTGCAAATATTTTTAAATGGCAGGACGACCTTTTAAAAATCACAAAGTACCATAAATTTAAATACAAAAGAACAAATTCGTACAGTAGTTCAAAATTAAAAAATTGTGGGACAAATTTTTAAAATTTCAAGCTGGAAAAAAAAACTTAAAACCCAATATTTAAAACAAAGTTCGCACAGGTGTTCAAAGTTTAAAAATTGTGGGAAAAAATTTGCAAAAATGTAGTAGGAGGAAATTTTCAATATTTTCATAATTGACAAAAATTTTAAAAAAATTTAAATATCAGGACGAAATATAAACATTTAAATTTTAAATTTAAATAAAAAACGATAAAACAAATTCGCACAGTAGTTCAAAATTAAAGAATTGTGGGACAAATTTTTAAAATTTTAAGCTTTGAAGCTCGAAAAGAAACCTTTAAAGCCCAATATTTAAAAAAAGTTTACACAGGTGTTCAAAATTAAAAAAAAAACGTGTAACAAAATTTTGTGGGACAAAAATTGTAAAAATGTAGTAGGAGGAAATTTTCAATTTTTTCAAAATTGACAAAAATTTAAGCTTCACAGTTAAAAATTAAAAAATAGTAGGACACATTCGCACATTACTTCAAAATTAAAAAAAAATCGTGAATGATGATAAACATTATAAATTCTCTGCTTAACAACGAGAATAATGAACTCATTATTCACGTTGTTAGGCATCAGTGATTGGCCGATTTCAATATTCACTGTGATTTGACCAATCGGGTTTTAAATTGGACGAACGCGACTACAATAACATTTAAAGTTGCTAAAAAGTGAGGTTAACCATTTGACAGATGTCAGACTTTATTTATTTAGTTTTAAAATTAATTTAATTATCTACTTATTGTAGTATATATACCTAGTATTATACTTAAAATAGTATTACACTGAAGATTATGTACATTATTTATATAATCATTCAATAGCCTGCATTATCTCTCATATAATAATATACTATTGTTACATTTGCGACTATTGGTAAATATTTCAAACATTTTGATTATTTTTCAACAAGAGGATTCATAAATAAAAATACAACAAATACAGTAGTGAAAATGTTACAAATTAATTAAATCAAATCTTTACAAAATTCAAGTTGATCTAATTTAAAAATGCTTCAGACATCTTTTTTTTAAACAAAAATTCTGTTTACATCATTTGAATAAAAAATATACAGGAGATGACCCAGTGTAGAACCCTGTAGTACTTCTCTTTTATAAGTAAGCTATCGGACAGGATTTTATTTTATTAACCTTTTTATTGTAGGTGAATCAGTGGTTGACATGGTTGCAGGAAGCAGAGTCGGAGGAAGAAGAGGGTGACGAGTAGTAGATGAATAATAAAAAAATAAATAAATCACAAAAAAAGGACAGATTGATTTAGGAAACTTTTACATATTATTAATTAAGCTATTAAAAATATACATAAATATGCGCAGTGACTGGATGTCCTGTTTTCTAAAAAACATCTGATACAACCAACCACAATATAAATGTTTATGATCGTATTTCATAATAATTATAATTTTAAATTAATTAATTTCGACTGATGCTTGCATTCGGTCTCTATATATATTTTTTTGTTGGTCGTCTGCTAGTGAAATTGTTCATAGGTTCATATTGTGTGTGAATGAAACGATTAATTATATTATTATATTGATTACCTAATTATTGGAAACGTAAATTTTTATTTTAAAAGTGATGTAGATCTGTAAGTTTATATGATTAAAATAACACCCCCAACCATTTTGAATGTGTACTGATTTTATATGGTACTTTGCACTTACAATAAATAACACAGGCCGACAAAATAAATTTTCCCTTTTCTGCAGGGCAGCCAACAACTTTTCCACGATAATTCGGTTGCTTAAATTACCCTAGAAAAGTTGTTGGCTACCCTGCAGCAAAATGGGTGTTGACCAGTGTAAAATAAAAACTCGACTATCCAGTTCGGGGCCTTGAGTCACCCAGAATGCTGCTCTCAACTCATAACCTCAATTTTTTCACTCCAACTTGCAATCACTTGAAATTGGCATTCCCAACTCGGCTCCGAACGAAATATATTGAGCTTTGAAACTATATATACTTTTATAAAATGTGTTCTGATTTTGTAATATTTTATGTCAACTACTGTATTTTCTCAAGTATTTTGTTACAAAAAAATAGTTCATTTTCCTATACACTTTAGATTAGTCAATGTCTCACTAAAAAAAATAAACATGTACTGTGAAAGTTTGTGTTAATAAATTATTCGGTGGTATTTTGCTATCGATGTAAATTTTAAAAATTGCCTTTTTATCCACATTTATTTCATTCAGAACCTAGAAAAAGAAGCCTGCAAAAAACTACTTTAAAATGCATTCTGGGAATTTTAGCACAAACCGGCAACGTTGGTTTATTTGAAGTACTCAAAAAGGACTACAGTTCATTTTTGAATTCGTGTTTTTTTTTATTAAGTTGGTAGCTTGTGCCAGTTTAATTTAGTATTTTTATATTTGGCCATTACCCAACAGAAGAAGAAGAAGAAGTATTTTTATATTTAAAAAATGGTACTTGCTGAATTATAATTAAGTTTTTTGACACTGTCAAATTGACAGTAATTTTTATTATTGATAATTCACTTGTTAATTATTATATAATATCGATATAAAAAGATAGCTATGCCAAAAATAATATCAGTCTAAAGTATGAAAGCTATTAAGGGCAAAACTTCATTTTGATGAAGTTTTGCCAAATGCCTCAATGGCAGAAAAAGTACTTCGACTTGTGGACATTTTTGGAGTAAAACGTTTTTGGTTTTACAAATATTCAATCACACATTATTTTCAGCTAAGCAGATCAAAAATGTTAAATGAAAATAGCATCCATTTGGTTTGAAAAAGATAAGCAATAATCACGAAACTTTTTCTTTTTTCAATTTGCAAGTTACTGATCATTTCATTCAAGTGTGTGAATAAAATTTTAATTTCTTTTATATAAATTCTTTTCAAAGCTGTAGTCACCTATATTTAACTACTTTTTATATGATTTTACTCATCTATCCCAGGTAGCAACGTGACATTAAAAATTAGAAGTGACGAAAACGAGACAATATTTCGTTACGATTAAGGAAATTTTAATAAAAAGTAAATAAATTGCGTGACGCCAAATTCGTGACGAGGGGTATATGAAAATACGTGACGAATTTTTTCATAAAGTCGTTAGTCACACGAAATAGTGATAATTTTACTTTAAATTTTGGTATAAAATTCTTGACGTGCAGCTAACAAAAGGATAGTTTAAAACCGTAAGTACTTTTGCTTTTCTATATTTCAGTAGCTTAAGACAATTGTCTGCCATGCTAAACAACTCCACACTCTAATCTAAGAAATGTTTTGCTGTAGCAACAAAATATAAGTAACCACAACATTTTTAGTGTGTTAATATATCCTTAACAAATTTATTATTATAGCTTAAGTATTTTAAGTTGAATTTCTACTGAAAGAGGAAAAAATACATTTTATTGTACGTGAAATAAATTTTAACAAAGCCATGGAGAAAACTACTTATTTCTTATGATCATTTTGCAGGTCAATTAAAATTAAAAAATTGGTAACCAACATAACATAGACTGTTTTACAGTCTACACTCTGGACACACTTCACACAACTGGATAGGGGCGAACGAAAACTTTAGACTAAAAGACATATTGATGGCAAACACAATTGTCTTGGGTTGTCTCGGGGGAAAGAAATATTACAAAGGATGACGTTAAAAAGCACATTATGTATGCCTTCCAGCATACATAATATGATAAGATGAAATCACAGGTTTGTACTTCAGCTGAACCCTAGTGTTATTTAAGTAAGTTTATTATAAATGAATACATTAGATGCAAAACTCGGTTTTTGCACATTTTTAAAAAATATATATTTTATCTTATTTATGTTCATAACTGCACTGCCCACAGCATAACTAAGTAAACCAGATGCATAAGTTAATATTTGTAGAATAAAATACATTTATAAACTTACCGCAGCTGCAAAACTGGGTATTTGTCGGATGCAAAACTCGGTATTTGACCAATCACGTCGCTAGTATACGCATTAACTGACGGCATAACAATCACCTGATTAATTGTTATTTTTTTGGTATTTGCACTTTTCACTTGCAAAACTTGGTCTTTGAACGAGGAAGATGCAAAACTATGTTTTTAAATCTTTTGATTTCAATTATTTACTAAACTACTTAATTTTAAAGGACTTTTTTTTACTTTTTTGAATAAGAAATGATGCAAAAGCACGTCTATACGATTTTTGTATCTTTTTTTTCAAATATGACCTTATGAGCGGTTTTTCGTGTTTTTCTTAAAATCACTTATCTTGCAAATACATAGTTGTGCATCTAATGTACTCAAATAAATGTTGCAGTTAAAGAAACTGCAGACATAAAATAAAAATTTTATACTCGCGATATTTTTCTCAAAAGGGTCCCCCCTTATGACATTTTTTCTGAAAATCAAGAAAAAAAAAGTTGCAAAAATAATTTTTCCTTACTAATTCGAGCACGCTGATTCTAAAAAATCAAACCGCACTTTTGTATCTCTTCCCATTTCGAACTTACACTCGAAAATCGCGATATTTTTCTCAAAAGGGTCCCCCCTTATGAAATTTTTTCTGAAAATCAAGAAAAAAAAGTTGCAAAAATAATTTTTCCTTACTAATTCGAGCACGCTGATTCCAAAAAATCAAACAGCACTTTCGTATCTCTTCCCGTTTCGAAGTTACACTCGAAAATCGCGATATTTTTGTCAAAAGGGTCCCCCCTTATGAAATTTTTTCTGAAAATCAAGAAAAAAAAAGTTGCAAAAATAATTTTTCCTTACTAATTCGAGCACGCTGATTCCAAAAAATCAAACAGCACTTTCGTATCTCTTCCCGTTTCGAAGTTACACTCGAAAATCGCGATATTTTTGTCAAAAGGGTCCCCCCTTATGACATTTTTTCTGAAAATCAAGAAAAAAAAAGTTGCAAAAATAATTTATCCTTACTAATTCGAGCACGCTGATTCCAAAAAATCAAACCGCACTTTCGTATCTCTTCCCGTTTCGAAGTTACACTCGAAAATCGCGATATTTTTCTCAAAAGGGTCCCCCCTTATGACATTTTTTCTGAAAATCAAGAAAAAAAAAATTGCAAAAATAATTTTTCCTTACTAATTCGAGCACGCTGATTCCAAAAAATCAAACCGCACTTTCGTATCTCTTCCCGTTTCGAAGTTACACTCGAAAATCGCGATATTTTTCTCAAAAGGGTCCCCCCTTATGACATTTTTTCTGAAAATCAAGAAAAAAAAAGTTGCAAAAATAATTTTTCCTTACTAATTCGAGCACGCTGATTCCAAAAAATCAAACCGCACTTTCGTATCTCTTCCCGTTTCGAAGTTACACTCGAAAATCGCGATATTTTTGTCAAAAGGGTCCCCCCTTATGACATTTTTTCTGAAAATCAAGAAAAAAAAGTTGCAAAAATAATTTTTCCTTACTAATTCGAGCACGCTGATTCCAAAAAATCAAACCGCACTTTCGTATCTCTTCCCGTTTCGAAGTTACACTCGAAAATCGCGATATTTTTGTCAAAAGGGTCCCCCCATAAGACATTTTTTCTGAAAATCAAGAAAAAAAAAGTTGCAAAAATAATTTTTCCTTACTAATTCGAGCACGCTGATTCCAAAAAAACAAACCGCACTTTCGTATCTCTTCCCGTTTCGAAGTTACACTCGAAAATCGCGATATTTTTGTCAAAAGGGTCCCCCCTTATGACATTTTTTCTGAAAATCAAGAAAAAAAAAGTTGCAAAAGTAATTTTTCCTTACTAATTCGAGCACGCTGATTCCAAAAAATCAAACCGCACTTTCGTATCTCTTCCCGTTTCGAAGTTACACTCGAAAATCGCGTTATTTTTGTCAAAAGGGTCAAGAAAAAAAAAGTTGCAAAAATAATTTTTCCTTACTAATTCGAGCACGCTGATTCCAAAAAATCAAACCGCACTTTCGTATCTCTTCCCGTTTCGAAGTTACACTCGAAAATCGCGATATTTTTGTCAAAAGGGTCCCCCCTTATGACATTTTTTCTGAAAATCAAGAAAAAAAAAGTTGCAAAAATAATTTTTCCTTACTAATTCGAGCACGCTGATTCCAAAAAATCAAACCGCACTTTCGTATCTCTTCCCGTTTCGAAGTTACACTCGAAAATCGCGATATTTTTGTCAAAAGGGTCCCCCCTTATGCCTTTTTTTCTGAAAATCAAGAAAGAAAAAGTTGCAAAAATAATTTTTCCTTACTAATTCGAGCACGCTGATTCCAAAAAATCAAACCGCACTTTCGTATCTCTTCCCGTTTCGAAGTTACACTCGAAAATCGCGATATTTTTCTCAAAAGGGTCCCCCCTTATGACATTTTTTCTGAAAATCAAGAAAAAAAAAGTTGCAAAAATAATTTTTCCTTACTAATTCGAGCACGCTGATTCCATAAAATCAAACCGCACTTTCGTATCTCTTCCCGTTTCGAAGTTACACTCGAAAATCGCGATATTTTTGTCAAAAGGGTCCCCCCTTATGACTATTTTTCTGAAAATCAAGAAAAAAAAAGTTGCAAAAATAATTTTTCCTTACTAATTCGAGCACGCTGATTCCAAAAAATCAAACCGCACTTTCGTATCTCTTCCCGTTTCGAAGTTACACTCGAAAATCGCGATATTTTTGTCAAAAGGGTCCCCCCTTATGACATTTTTTCTGAAAATCAAGAAAAAAAAGTTGCAAAAATAATTTTTCCTTACTAATTCGAGCACGCTGATTCCAAAAAATCAAACCGCACTTTCGTATCTCTTCCCGTTTCGAAGTTACACTCGAAAATCGCGATATTTTTGTCAAAAGGGTCCCCCCTTATGACATTTTTTCTGAAAATCAAGAAAAAAAAAGTTGCAAAAATAATTTTTCCTTACTAATTCGAGCACGCTGATTCCAAAAAATCAAACCGCACTTTCGTATCTCTTCCCGTTTCGAAGTTACACTCGAAAATCGCGATATTTTTGTCAAAAGGGTCCCCCCTTATGACATTTTTTCTGAAAATCAAGAAAAAAAAGTTGCAAAAATAATTTTTCCTTACTAATTCGAGCACGCTGATTCCAAAAAATCAAACCGCACTTTCGTATCTCTTCCCGTTTCGAAGTTACACTCGAAAATCGCGATATTTTTGTCAAAAGGGTCCCCCCTTATGACATTTTTTCTGAAAATCAAGAAAAAAAAAGTT